GTCTTTATTAAAAAAACAAAAAAAAGTATCTCTATAGTGCAGTTGGATTACTGAGTTATTTTTCATACATTACAGACAATACCTCAGAGCTGTGATATACCAAAAATGTAATTGTAAAACAAACATCATATTTGTGTGGAATTCACCTATATGAAGATATGAAGATTCTTCAGAATAGAACTATATTGAATCAGATATCTGAAATAAACAATCATGTATACTGTATACACATGATTTTGCACACCCGTGCCGCCCTATAGCAGTTTTTCTGCTATAGAGCGGCGCGGAACTGGTTAAAGCAATTCTAAAGGTTCATTTTTTTTTTGCAAACAACACCTACCGTATACGTGTACAGTGGTTTTGCACAGAGCATCCTGGATCCTCCTCTTCTTGGGTCCCCTGCATGCTCTCCTTGCTCTTCCTGTCTGTCGGGTGCCCCCACAGCAAGGAACTTGCTACGGAGGCACCTGCTGCTCCGCGTGTCCATTCACACATGGAGCTGTGGCTTGGCCCCACCCCTTCTCTCGCCTCATTGGCTGAATGGCTGTAATTGACAGCAGCGGGAGCTGCCAATGGCTCCCGCTTGCTGTCTCAGCCAATGAACAGGCAGAGACCCAAGACAGCCAAGGCGGTCATTCACATCGCTGGATCGTGATGGGGCTTAGGTAAGTATTGAGGGAACTGGGGACACTGCTGCACACAGAGGTTTTTTTACTTTCATGCATAGAATGCATGAAGGTAAAAACCTTCAGCTTTTACAACCACTTTAAGTTTTGGATGTTCCTAAAGAAAATATCAAATTTGGTAGTAATTTTTATTGGTCTGTAGGGAGCACACAGTTAGAATCAAAAATTTGTAAAGGAGTAAAAGGACGGATTTCTTGTAGTTTCGTGTAATTTTTTTTTTTAGTCTATAACTTTTATCTTAAATGTGTCCTTAGACTTTGGATGCCTTCTAAAGTGTTTCCAAAGTCTCTAACAACTCCTATGGCAAGCTTGTGGTCTCTGCCTCTCTCTAGTAGCCTGCCCATAGTCTTTGACCATCTCCTGTTGAATATTTACTGTCTGACAGCTTTCTATAGCAAAACATTCAGTTAATATTGTGTTCAGTCCTTTGGTGACATTAGCGCTGCATTTGAGGCCCTTTGTATTATAGAGTTAACCACTGCTAGTATCATTTGATACCTAGGTCATTTGATATCTCGTTTGGACAAAAACACAAATATATTGCTTGTTAATATAGATTAATTTGGCATTTACCTATCTAAAAACATACAGTATTGTCAAATTTGAAATGTAAAGGGAACTTATAAGATTGTATGTTGTTAGCTAACTGTAAATCTGATTCAAAAACATTAGGTTTAGGAACACAATATCCTTAGAAAATATTTACTTTCTGAAAATTGTGTTGTGCATAAGGTTAGACATCCCCCCAACTTCAATTGACAATGGTGAGTTCTGAGTTAAGGTCACTCTTTTGAAACTCTGGAAGTCTGAAACTATAGGAATACTTAGATAAGCTTTTTAGCAACACTGCAGGTATGTTCTTCTACATTATGGTAACAATAATAAAGAGTTTCTGTTGGTTTACAAAGTGCTTCCAATGTACAGGTCCATTTTAAACCTAACAAAGACATAAAGAGAATGTAACCTACCTGCTCAGAGCTTACACATTTTGATTAGACAGAACAGTATTGTATGAGGCCACCTAGCCTCTTAACATTATTGTATGATCAGTAATCTAGGATTCTGGAAACCGCAATTACTGAGTCCAGCAAGTTTGCATGTCAAATATTCCTAACTCTTCCCACCAAACAGACCTTCCGGTCCAATCAGACAGAGAGAAAAAGGGCAACACAGAAATATGTGAAAAGAGAATGCAGATCTACTCACAAGCTGATTTGCAATATTTTGCAGGTTTCCTAGATAGCATCAACTGTTTACATTGTTACATTTCTTTTTTACATTCCTTGGAGGTGTTTCTAGTTTTATGTGCACAGTAAAAATATGATGGAAGTTTTTCTCTCTTTCGGCATGGTTTTATCCTGAAATACTTACCTTAGTGCTTTTTAAGGAATCTTAAATCTGTGGGTTTCAGCTATACTTAGTAGGTTTATAATATAGTGAGAGGCCTACAACTTTAGTGACTTTCTCTTTTATATGGTTTAGTATATAATTTAAATGTGCATAAAGTGTTCACTGATCTTGCATTTTAATTAAAAAACACAGAACACATAAAGAACAGTAAGGCTGTCATAAAACCTTTTCAAGGTATGAAAATACACTCACCAGCCACTTTATTAGATATACTTGTTCAATTGCTTGGTAACACAAATTGCTAATCAGCCAGTCACATGGCAGCAACTCAGTGCATTTAGGCATATAATAAACGTGGGGAAGACGATTTCCTGAAGTTCAAACTGAGCATCAGAATGGGGAAGAAAGAGGATTTAAGTGACTTTGAATGTGGCATGGTTGTTGATGCCAGACGGGCTGGTCTGAGTATTTCAAAAACTGTTGATCTGCTGGGATTTTCATGCACAACCATCTCTAGGGTTTACCGAAAATGTCCTGAAAAAAAGAAAATATCCAGTATGCGGCAGTTGTATGGACGAAAATACTTTGTTGATGTCAGAGGTCTAAGGAGAATGAGCATACTAGTTTGAGATGATAGAAAGGCAACAGTAAGTAAAATAGCCACTCATTACCACCAAGGTATGCAGAATACCATCTCTGAATGCACAACACATCGAACCATGAAGCAGATGGGCTACAGCAGCAGAAGACCACTCCAGGTGCCACTCCTGTCAGCTAAGAACAGGAAACAGAGGCTGCAGTTAGCACAGGCTCACCAAAATTGGATAACAGAAGATTGGAAAAACGTTATCTGGTGTGATGAGTCTCGATTTCAGCTGCAACATTCAGATGGTAGGGTCAGAACTTGGTGTAATCAACATGAAAGCATGGATCCATCCTGCCTTGTATCAACATTTCATGGATGTACCACCGACAAATCTGCAGGACAGTGTGATGCTATTATGTCAATTTGGGCCAAAATCTCTGAGGAATGTTTCCAATACCTTGTTGAATCTATGCCACGAAGAATTAAGGCAGTTCTGAAGGCAAAAGGAGTCCAACCCGGTACTAGCAAGATGTACCTAATAAAATGGCCGGTGAGAGTTTAATGTAGCATTGCACACTTTGTAATTTTTCTGTTTGTTCATAGTTTCACTTATAATAGAACATAAATTATCTTAAAGTTCTCTGGTATATTAGCATACATTACATGGCAGCCTATAATTTTTGAATGTTTGATGCTCTATGGGTTTGGCACACAACCACGTGACAAAAGCTGACCACAAAAAGTTAATCATTTGAGGTCCACAGGTGCTACTTACTCACCAGCGTGCAGACAGCTGCAGCTGAAAATGTTACAGTTGGCAGTGTCTTGTTATTTATTTGCCACAAGATAATGAATCGCAGACTGTTTTAAACAATACAAGTTTTCATTACTTTAAGAAGCATGTAATCTGTTAGTTTCTCATGCATCTTTGGCTATAGAAAATTCCCAAAAGCCTTTAAAACAACTAGAATGGAAAACATTTGGCAGATTGAACAGAAATAATGTGAAATGCCCTAAGGATAGCTCATGATTTTTTTTTAAGGAAGATGTTTCTGGAAATGCTCATAGACTAGAACTTCACTTAAGACCTTTGTTGTAGAGAAAACTAACAAATATTCCATTTAGTGTTTATTACATGGATCGGCCACCTCTACGTTCCTAAAAAAAATTAGTATTCTGCAAATGAATCAGAGCACTATGATGTCCAGTCCTTTCTCATGCATTAGCTGCTCTGAAATGGATTTGCTTTTCTGAAAGGATCTGAACCATACTTACAGAGGTTGATGCTTGTTTCGCTATCACACAGATTTACTTATTGCAGCTGGTGATCAGGTGTGATGCACCATATAGCACTGCTTGAAAACTTTTATTTATCAGTCTTATGTTTGAGAGCCAGAGGTTAGTCAGAAAATTTCAGTAACTACCGTCTCAGTGTACACTTGGTCTTATTGCAGCTGACTCCTCAGGTAGCATATGCTCAGCCCTACACAAATGTTCAAAATACTCACAACATGATGAAGTCACACCTCTACTGAGCAATTGAAGGCACCTGGCAAAAAAAAGACATTGTGCAACAGGTGGAGGTCATAAAACATATAAACATCTAAATTAAAGCTTGATAGTCCTAAAATAGAGAACACAAAAGATATACCCTAGTGGTTGGAGGACAGGACAGTTAGACACATAGGACGTATGGGTTCTGAAAATAAGCAAGAAAGCATGATGTTTGGGAGCACATACACTTTCAAGAATAACATACAGAACTAAAAGACCAAAGCTAAACACGAAACAGTGAGACCAGTTAAACATAGGAACCAAATTTCCAAAAGGCAGGATGGGGAAGGTGGAATGCAGACTTTGCAAAAAAGTAAAGCATGAGATATGAGAGGTTCCTAATGTGCTTTAACAATTGTAAATGTGAACATCTGCCAATACTCACTATAGAGAGCTCAACTGAAGACACCTAATAGCTGTAGAGAAGAAACAACCCCATGTTGCATTTATACATTAAATCCTGAATGAATTAACAGAAATAAACATTCAGCTAGATAGATATTGTACAAACAACCTCCATTTTCATTGTCTTACCTTCACTTTTTTACAAATTCTTTATTTACAGCATCTGGCATTCATTGAATGACAAGTAGCAATATAAACCTACAGATAAAATGTGACATAATGTTATACCTTGAGCATAAGAATGGTCAACAAAAAGTGCATTAACCACAAGGTACAAAGGCATCCAGTCAGTGTAGTCAATCACCTCCACTTTTATGTAATAGTAGTTTTGCAGGGTGACTAAATATGACCTTCATCCTTCTTTTTGTAAGACTAAATACAACATTTTCAGGTATATATGTCTTTTTTTAAAATTTTGATTCAAGGGTGAAGCTGGACCAACAGGAGCACGAGGCCCTGAAGGACCCCAAGGATCAAGAGGGGAAACTGGATCACAAGGACCAGCTGGTTCATCAGGCCTTTCTGTAAGTCTTTTTTTAAGTATGTAACAGATTGTAATTAAACAGGACCTTGAATATTAAGCTGCCTTAGCTTGAATTAAATGCTATAGTAACAATGAAAAAAAAACTCCCTTTGTTGAACAAAGACTGCATACTATATATGTTTCATTTAAACAGGCAGAAAATCTTATTGCAGGCAAAATTCTAACTAAAGCATATGTTTGCAGGGTGCCCCAGGAACTGATGGCACGGGTGGTGCTAAAGGACCTACTGTAAGTAATTTGCATACAATATTTAAATTATGTTATTCAGCGAATTGCTGGTTAGAATTGTGTCTAATAAAATTTGAATGTTTTTGGTTCTAGGGTGGTCCTGGTGTTGCAGGTTCTCCTGGCCTTATAGGACCACCTGGATCTCCTGGACCTCAAGGAAGTACTGGAGCACCTGGTATTCGTGGCTCAGCGGTAAATATAATAAACAGATTATGAAACCATTAAATTTTCATAGAAGATGACAAAACACGCATACAATAGAGAAAGTAGTTTGTGTGATGTGGCTGGGAGTAGACGCACTGAATTGTCAGGTCAATTATTTCACAGCAACATTAATTCATTAAAGACCTTCTGATTACTTTTGGATGCCTCTACCCGAAGTGAAAGTGTAGCTTTTAATAAATAGGTCAAAAATGCAAGAAATTTATTTTCCACTTAAAGTCTAGGCGGTAAATATGCATATTTGTTTATTACAGGTATTTATTTAGCACCATTTTTACATGTTACACATTGTACATTCACATTAGTACCTGCACTCACACAGTCTATCTCACATGCATACATACACATACTAAGGGAAATTGTTAGACAGGAGCTAATCAACCTACCAAAATGTCTTTGTAATGTGGGAGGAAACTCATCCAGGCAAGGCAGAGGAATAAGGAGTAATGCATACTTTATACTTTGCTCCAGCTGCCTCCCTCCGTCTGTGTGATTAGTCCCCCCCCCCCCCCAAAATCTTCTGTGAAACATTCACTGTTAGGGTCAGCATTTGCCTTCTCCTTATAAATTACAAGACTAATAGTCATGGATTGTATGTGATAGCAGTGAGGGACTGCCCATAGCCCAGAATGTAAGGAAGAAGAGAGAGCAATGAAGCTTGCTGGAGCCTGCCAGAGCAAGAGATAAGGTAAATAATACAGTCTCTTCCTTAGTGAGCATTTACCCATGCAGTGTGGAGGGCCCTACTGCAAAAGTATTTTTTCCAGCCCCCACTTGGGCTTTAAACCTTGAAAAGTACATGTTCTGCCTAACAGCAAAAAATCACAAGTTTCTTGTTATTACGTTATTGTTGAAGCTGCCCCTATATAGAGTAATTTAGTTTGACTTTTGACCTTGGATTGACTTTCTCTAACTTTCCCTCACTTGAGTTCCACCAACTGCTATCTCCCTGTACAGTATGAGTGTCTTTCAAGGCCATTAACAAGGGGAAGACATAGGCATGTGCAAATCAAAATCCACAAGGCTTAGAAAGAGATACTGTAAGTGTTTCTCACACAAGCATAGATTTGGAAAGCCATTGGGTTAGGTTAGGCTGATTGGAAGAGAAAAGATGGAGGGCTCACCACTCTGGTTTGGAGGTACAACACCTCTCTTGAAACAAAACAAGGTTTTTCTCGCATTATGTAGTAAATTTTTGCCTCCTTTGTGTGAAATCCCTAGTGTCCCTGCCAGTCCATTTGCTTTCCTATTAAAAATTGACCACACCAAACAGGAGAGCACATTGTGGTCAGTTCTCTAGGTGTACTGGGAATTCAGCCTGCTCTCCTGCAACGATCATACTTGTTCTGACATGCCCCCTGCACAGCCATTTACTGGGAAGATCAGTGTACTCCCCTAGCTCTTATGCAACTGAGAACAGAGGATATATGATCACGTATAAAAATGAGAAAGAAGGTATTTATAATGTTTTATTTATGTTTTAATCTATACACAAATGTTTTGCCTTTTATTTGTAGTTTAGTTTATTTCAAACATTTAAAAATAAAAAACATAAAAAATGTACAATCAGTAGTAAACTAGTTGTCCAAAAACAACTAGTTACAAGAGAAGATGAACAGCTAAAAAAAATTTTTTTTAGTTTACATATCCGAAAAGGAGTGGGAAGAACTACACAAATTGTTTTAATCTCACCCCTTCTCCATAACTATAAAGTTGTACAATTAATAATTCAAATGTAATTGCCAATAATCTTGCTTTATAATCATACATACAGGCACACGTACACACAGATATGCATACATGCACATACCTTAAACTGAATGGTTTTTTTTTTTACAAGGTGAGGGTTTATAATCACTTTAACAACAGTTATTTGAACCAAAAACACTTTTTGATTTAAACATAAACATGCTGGAATATATTTAATTAGCCTCTTATGTATTGTAGTGTGAATTAAAAATCAAACATACCTTATATAGTTATTTCAATTGTTTATTATAGCATATAGAAAGTTAATCTAAATTATTTAAAACAAGTAAACAAGTAAAAAAAGTAGCTGTATTAAAAATAAAAATGCTGCTGTGAAAAGTTTGCATGGTGTAAAGTGTGGCAAATATTGGACATGGCTTAAAGGGGGTTGGTTAAATAGAGTCTGAAGTGACTTACACAGTGCAGAGAATGTGCTAATGTTAAATAAGTAATGTAGAGAGTGGAGTGTACGGTGGTGGTAGTATGTGCAGCAGATAGGTGTGGAGTGTATGGTGATGGATGGTGTCAGTAGGGCAGTGGATAGTGTCAGTAGAGCAATGGACAGTGTCATAAAAAAAAATTAGTATTTTAGTATTTTTAATTTTTTTTTTAACAATTTTGTTTTTAGATTATTTTTTACAATTTTTTTTCACAATAATTTTGGGGGGGCAGTGAACAGTGTCATTAGTGCAGTGGATGGTGTCATTAGAGCAGTGGATGGTGTCAGTAGCTTTTACTTTCATTATTTTACTTTTTATTATTTTTCACAATTTTATTCTCTTTATTATTTTTTACAGTTAATTTTTTTCTTATTTTTCCACAATGCTTTTGGGGTGGGAGCAGCGGGCAGGGTCAGTAGGGCAATGGATGGTGTCAGTATTTTGTTTTTATTACTTTATTTTCTATTATTGCTTCTCGAGGGGCAGTGAACAATGTCAGTAGGGTAGTGGGGATTGTCAGTAGAGCAGTGGGTGGTGACAGTAGTTTTTTATTTTTATACTGATCACTGACTCATTTAGAAAAGGAAGGGGTCAGTAAATGACATTTACTAGCCCTTTCCGCCTCTCTTCATCCTGACAGATCTCCCGCAGCAACCTGCGAGAGAGGAGAAAGGGGAGTCAGCAGCCTTGCGGGGGGATGAGGGAGTGGCCACAGGGAGCACACAGGGGGACCCACATAAGAAGATAAATCTGATGGACAGTCGGTGGTGATCAGTGTGGCGGTGACGGCAGTTACAAGCACTGATCTCCCTGTATGGATTTCAATTAAATAGATGAAATCTGCGGGAGGGAGAGAGGAGATTTCAGCTGCTTCATAGAAATCCATACTAGGAGATCAGCGCTTGTAACTGACCCCACCACTGCATAGATCACTACCAACCAGGGGCGGACTGACAACCCATGGGGCCCCCGGGCAATTGGGGATCATGGAGCCCCTGTGTCGTTGCCCACACTCAAAGCACACCCAAAAAACCCTATAAAAGGTACCATGGGAATTTTATGGGGCCCCCTACTGGCCTCGGGCATTGCCCGAGTGCTCAAATGGTCAGTCCGCCCCTGATACCATCTATCAAATTTCACCTGCTAAAGGAGGTGGCAACCAGGAACAGATCATCCACGATGGGTGCACTGTGCCCCACCAGGGCCCGTGTGCAGTGAACATCTTGCACCCATGGATGATACTCCACTGTATACAGTATCACCTTAAAAAATACATAAGAGATTTACTGAATAATGCATCTGTCAGCAAGGAAACCTTTCTTGTTCCTTAGGCAAGATGTAGCTGTTGTCCGGAGCAGAGAATGGTGTGCTTGTCATCTTTTTGTCATCTTTTTCTCTTTACATTCTACTGGATTATGAGGTCTAACAGGACACTAGGAGCTCACTTAGCAGGGCTAAGACATAAAGTCATAGGATGTCATGTTCTAGTGACAAAATAAAAGCAATTTAAAGAGGGCACAGTAGAATTTTTTCTGATTATAAAGGAAGAAGTAGGTAGACTTCTTAGGAAGAATTTTTACTTCAACAGTTTAATATAGAGCACAGACTTTCTTTAAATGCAGACATTAAACATATACAATAAATGTTAACTGTTTTAACTGTCAAATGAATTTTCTCATTTATTGAACAATGTGAAAAGTCATATTTGAAGCTGCAAACCTGTACTACTTTAACCCTAAATTTTGTGCCCTTTTCAGTTATGGAAGAATGCAACTGCTCAAACTATTCCTGCTCCTTTAAAATTAATCTACCTTACAAGAGAACACACAGCCCTAAGCTTCCTATATATTGTCACATCAGTCTATTGCAGGTGTCAAAAGCTCATTTCATATAAGGGACAGAGGGGGAATTTATCAGAGCTACAACAGACAGAATCTGGAACAGATATGCATGGCAACCAATCAGCTTCTATCTTCAGGTGGTTTGATTAAGCTATGAAAAGGAAAGATGGAAGCTGATTGGTTGTCATGTTCCACATTCTGGCAGCTCTAGTTTTCATAAATTGCCATCAATGAAATCAAATAAATGCATGAATATATTGATTTGATTTTTGGCTTGCCACAATCTTCATCCCAATCATATTCATATTCAAGAGCTTAACTTTCAGGTTTACAAGTTGGCAACCTGGCAGCCTTCCTCCAAACAATATTGCCTCATTACCAGTTTATTGGGACAATGATTAGTTCTACTTGTGTTCAAAGTATCTATACATTTGCAAAGATTTCTTTACTCAAAACTATCTTATTTTCATTCAAACATTACAAATGTAAAGTCAATTTGTAGGGCATACCCCTATCATCTTGACATACAAAACATATTTCTTAAGCCCTGTCTATAATCCATTTGAACCCTTCACCAATGTGAACATTTTTCACCTCCTTGTTGTTTTGCTCAGTCTAAAGTCAGGTGCACTATGAAATTTGGCTGGTTCAGCAGGAGCCAGCTGACTTTCTGTCTGTGTGTACGACTCTCTGTTCAAAAGAAGGCAGTCTACTGACGGACTTTTGTCAAACGGTCATGCTGGAAAACCTGCTGTCAGAATACAATAGTGTGAAAATAGGAATTCAAAACCCGATAACGAAGTTTACTCACCTCAACCTATCTGTAAAGCACCCCCTTTTAAACATTTATATGTACTTATTTTTCTGAGCATGTCAATAGCAATATGAGACTACCAAAGACATGGAGGATTCTGAAGCACTATAAGGTATGCAAAGTTAGCTATAAAAGAGAAAAAGGAACATTTAGATGTTCCCAAGTGTCTTGGGATTATTTTACTTGATGAAGCTAAGCAGACCACCTTATAAACTTACATAAAGACCAGTGTAGTTTTATAACTTCCATCTGTTTTATGTGTGGTCCTTTGGGTCATGATGTTCTATGGCCCTTGTCCAGGTTCTCATTTTATTCCTCTGGAGTTTTTCTCTGTAGCTTCTTTCTCATACAACAAATAATTGGTACAAAGAAACATATGGGTTGTTTATTTTTTAAAGGGTGATCCCGGTGTACCTGGATTTAAAGGTGAAGCTGGTCCCAAAGGTGAACCTGTAAGTAAATTGTATTTCTATCATGTTTTAGGGTGTAAGTGGGAATTTGTGTAACAGTTAAAAAACTAGTTACAGTATATAATCTCAATATTATAGTTTAGGTAATACTCTATGATGCTTTTTCAGGGTCCCCATGGTCCACAAGGCCCAACTGGTCCACAAGGAGAAGAAGGTAAAAGAGGTCCCCGTGGAGACCCAGGATCTATCGGGCCACTAGGCCCAGTTGGAGAAAGGGTATGAAAATGCCATATTGCATCTAAATAAAATATTCTTATAAAATAAAAGACATTAAAATGGTAACCAATTTTGAATGTATTACATGTTATGGAACTATAAACAGATGATTGATGTCTAAGTATGCAGTTATGTGTTCCTGACACAGCTAGGGTTTTACATGTCAATAATAAACTAAATTTGTTTTATGCTTTTGAAAGTGTTTTCTGTTTCTCATAAAATAAATATTTGACTTGGAACTGAAAATACTCTCTCATCCAGTGATGTCTAAAAGGGCCGTGTTTGTAAAACTATTGAAGTGTGTTTTTGTATTGAAGGTTTGTTCATGGCCAGATCAGCTGGAATCCAATAGGTTGCTATTGACTACTAGACAGATACTTTACTTGATTCCAGCTTAATTATCTCTGCCCTCTTACTTTTTTGACCTGCACTTTTGCAAGTGAAAAGACAATCATGTTAATCAACTTCTGAAGTACCTGAACTAAAAGCTTTCAAAATGAACTTCAGTAAATTGTTTTAGTATTTTTTCATACAGTAGGGAAGGGCTAGATCCCCTGTCATGTTTTAATTTCTGTGTCCCTATTAGAGAGATTTGTCTTAACCTTCTGTACTCCAACATGAAACAGGAAGTATATTGGAATCTCTCCAATATGAACAGCAATAAAAAACACTTTTGTTCGGTAAAGTGGAAAAAAGTCAGAGCCCCATTTTTATTACTATCAAGGGTCTCTGTTTTAGAAATTTCCCCTCGCTTTCCATCCCTGTGACATCTTGGAGGGGGGGGTTTACTAAAACTGGTGCACACACAACGGTGAACATGTGCATAGTAACCAGCTTCTAGATTTATTGGTCAATACTTAATTGCACAAGCTGAAGTTAGAAACTGATTGGTTACTATGCAAAGTGGCACCAGATTCTGTATACACCAGTTTTAGTAAGTCTACCTCCTTGTGTGTCAAGTGTGTAAATAGGGTTCACCAGGACAAAAAATAAAGGGAAATCCTCATAAAAAGGTATAGGTGTATTTTTTTTTCTTTTTTTTTAAACTGTTTAACCAATTCCGACCGCACTATGGACAAAAGACCGCTACAGTGCAGTCAGCTAGTTCTGATAGGGCGTCCATGGGCACGCACCGTGCGTGATCTGTGATTGCTTTGCCCTTCGGACAAAGCTGATCACATGTCCAAGAAAAGGGCTTTTAGCATGTGACCAGCTGTGTCCAATCACAGCGATCACAGTGTAAATAGGAAATTCTGGTTATCAGCAGTCCTCTCTTCATGCTGACAGCACGTGAGGGGAGGAGAGCCGGTAAGCAGCATTTCTCAGGGGGACATCTACACTGATCATCAGGGCACTAATCATCAGTGCCTTGATGATCAGTGTAACCCCATCAGTGCCCATCATTGTGGCCAATAGTGCCCATCAGTGCCCATCTGTGCTGGCTTTTAGTGCCAATCTGTGATGGCTTTTAGTGTCCACCTGTGCTGGCTTTCAGTGTCATCTGTGCTGACTATCAGTGCCCATCTGTGCTGGATTTCAGTGCCCATTAGTGCTGCCTTTCAGTGCCCATCAGTGCTGCCTATCAATGCCCATCAGTGCCGCATATCAGTGCAGCCTCATCAGTGCCCATCAGTGCAGCCTCATCAGCCCACATCAGTGAAGAAGAAAAATCACTTATTTCCAAAACTTTATAACAGTATCTAAGAAAAAACCGTTTGGTCTTTTTTTGTTTGTTTAGCAAAAAGTAAAAACTCCAGTGGTGATTAAATGCCACCAAAAGAAAGTTCTATTTGTCTAAAATATAATTCAAAAATTTAGATTGTGTGCAATGTTGCAAGCTGAAAACTCGCCTGGGCAGGAAGGGGGTAAAAATGCCCGGTAGGCAAGTGGTTAAAATGTATCCCATAATAAGGTTTTATGTGAGTTTATCAACTTTACAAGAAGTGACTGGGGTCATGCAAGTTTATTGTGTCATTTACTAGGAAAAAATGCTACCTTTTCAAATTCCTTTTGTTGTATCTTCATGAATAATTTACCCTTCTGATATTTCTATTAGGGTGCACCAGGTAATCGAGGTTTCCCTGGATCAGATGGTTTACCTGGACCTAAGGTAAACAAGACTTGGTTTTATCATACTTTCAACTCACCTGTCTTAGAAGAAAAAACACACCCAACTCCAACAATTAAGTTAAAAAAATGTTTTTTTTTACCGTGGAATTTTGAGGCACACATTGTTCTCTTCTTTATCTTTACAATCAATGGGTGCTTTAAATGTAAAGGTTTGTCTATCTAAAAGTGTTAATTAAGGTATAGATGATGCCTGGGGGTCTGGGTTAGTCCCTAGACTTTTATTTGTCAATAAATTATCAAATGTGTTCCTACTCACTGGGAGCTATGAGTGCTCCCAGACATCTTTGCATGTACCTGTTCCTCCTGTTGTCATCTCCATAATTTAATATACATTAGGCCCAATAGGGTTAATTCTTCTATTGCTGTTATAGCCAGAATTATATTCTGTAATAATAAAAAAGGTTTAATATATGATAGACCCAAACATAAACACTGTCACTAATGGACTTTTGTAGTAAAGAGTAATCTTATATGCTAGCACATGGCATATAGTGTACCAATTGGTTTCTATGTACTGCACCTACAAATAAGAATATTTATCATTTTTATTTTAAAATATAATGATAAAGTTATTTTGCTTTGCATTTTGTTCACATGTGCTATGTTTAATATTAACCTATAGTTCAGAAGTTGCAATTTTTATGATGTTTTTTTTTTATTTTAATTTATTTCCTATTCAGGGAGCTCAAGGTGAACGTGGAGTTGCTGGAGTCTCAGGACCTAAAGGGGCTTCTGGAGATCCTGGTCGTCTTGGAGAGCCGGGACTTCCTGGTGCCAGAGTAAGTTTCACTTGATAAAAGTCCTCCTACCTATACTGAATGACAGGATCAGCTCATCTAGTGCCCAGGATGAAGATGGCATATTGTGCCCCCCCACCACCATGATGTGTAAGCATCCTGTCCCAGTAATAATCAACACCCCGCAAAAAAAATACACCACTAATCTGCACGTTTAACCCTCTGCAAGCCAACATTCTCCCCAAACAAACATGCACAAAGTCCTTCTCATTCCAGTACAAATTCCCCCTCCCAGCACCCAATCCACACTGCAGCTCAGGTCTTCCCCTCCTAGCACACATCCGTCTTAAAAAAAAAACAACCCTGCTAGCACAATTCCTCTCCCCTCAAATTTCCCCTCCTAGCACAAATTCTCCCCTTAGTCTGCCCTCCTTGCATAAATCCTTTCTCCCTCAAATCCCACCTTCCTCCCTCTTTTAGCATAAATACAGTTCCCTCCTCCAAATCCCAACTCCTAGTACAAATTCTCCCATTCCCAGAACAAATGTTTTTTACCCCCTTCCCCCCTTACAGGATCAAGAGCAGTGGAAGGGCAGAGAGGAGGAGAGATCTGGGAAGACCTTCCAGCTGTGCTCTCCCCCCTTCAGTTCCTTCCTCTTATTGATCTACAGGAGTTGACACAGTAGCATGATAGTTTGGTTAAGCATCCCCTACCCATATTTTCTGTTGCTCTCTCCTCCTCTCTGCTGCTGCCACTACTCCTGTAGGCAGCTCACTGTCACTACTCCTGTAGATCAGATCACTGTCACTACTCCTGTAGGCAGCTCACTGTCACTACTCCTGTAGGCAGCTCACTGTCACTACTCCTGTAGGCAGCTCACTGTCACTACCCCTGTAGGCATCTCACTGTCACTACTCCTGTAGGCAGCTCACTGCCACTACTCCTGTAGGCAGCTCACTGTCACTACTCCTGTAGGCAGCTCACTGCCATTACTCCTGTAGGCATCTCACTGTCACTACTCCTGTAGGCATCTCACTGTCACTACTCCTGTAGGCAGCTCACTGCCACTACTCCTGTAGGCAGCTCACTGTCACTACTCCTATAGGCAGCTCACTGTCACTACTCCTGTAGGCATCTCACTGTCACTGCTCCTGTAGGCAGCTCACCGTCACTACTCCTGTAGGCAGCTCACTGTCACTACTCCTGTAGGCAGCTCACTGCCACTACTCCTGTAGACAGCTCACCGTCACTATTCCTGTAGGCAGCTCACTGTCACTACTCCTGTAAGCATCTCACTGTCACTACTCCTGTAGACAGCTCACTGTCACTACTCCTGTAGGCAGCTCACTGTCACTACTCCTGTAGGCAGCTCACTGTCACTACCCCTGTAGGCATCTCACTGTCACTACTCCTGTAGGCAGCTCACTGCCACTACTCCTGTAGGCAGCTCACTGTCACTACTCCTGTAGGCAGCTCACTGCCATTACTCCTGTAGGCATCTCACTGTCACTACTCCTGTAGGCATCTCACTGTCACTACTCCTGTAGGCAGCTCACTGCCACTACTCCTGTAGGCAGCTCACTGTCACTACTCCTATAGGCAGCTCACTGTCACTACTCCTGTAGGCATCTCACTGTCACTGCTCCTGTAGGCAGCTCACCGTCACTACTCCTGTAGGCAGCTCACTGTCACTACTCCTGTAGGCAGCTCACTGCCACTACTCCTGTAGACAGCTCACCGTCACTATTCCTGTAGGCAGCTCACTGTCACTACTCCTGTAAGCATCTCACTGTCACTACTCCTGTAGACAGCTCACTGTCACTACTCCTGTAGGCAGCTCACTGCCACTACTCCTGTAGGCATCTCACTGTCACTACTCCTGTAGGCATCTCACTGTCACTACTCCTGTAGGCAGCTCACTGCCACTACTCCTGTAGACAGCTCACTGTCACTACTCCTGTAGGCAGCTCACTGTCACTACTCCTGTAGGCAGCTCACTGCCACTACTCCTGTAGGCAGCTCACTGTCACTTCTCATGTAGGCAGCTCACTGTCACTACTCCTGTAGGCAGCTCACTGTCATTACTGTAGCAAGTTCCTGCAGCTGTAGCAGCATGAACTCACCACGCAGTGCCTCCCTACCATACATGAGTTCACTGCACCAGGTGGCTGCTACCCCCATGTCCCAACCCTGCCTATACTCAAAAAACACACTATATGAGACATTCAGAAAAGACACAGCAATGCCAATTAGATTTTTGAAAGGGATGCACCTAATTTAAGCATTACCTCAGATGGCCATGTGAGGGTTAGGCTTTGCAGGGCTGGTTATAAGTAGGGACATTTAATTGTTGGAAAACACTGTGAGTGTGGAATACAGCTATTCCCTTTTCTAAGGAGTAAAAAGAAAAATTATTTCCCAGCATATGTACCACTAACACCTGTCAGCTGAGCTGAGAGAAGAGTACATCGGCCTCTTTTGGGATGGTTATGCATTAAAGGATGGACAAATGGCATATCACTAGCCAGCCTTACTGTTTACATATGAGCAAAAAGTATTTTGAGAAAAATAAAATAAACATCTTAAGAACCGTAGAACTTTATAGCAAGAGGTCCATTAGACTCCATTCACATCTTATACAAATTATAATAATAATAATAATTTATTTAATTTTAACGTTAGGGGTTAATTATTAATTATTTATTATTTATTTATCATGATTTCTTATTTATATGTGTATTTATTTATTTAACATTTATTTATTCATATATTATTAATTTTTTTAATTTGAGCAGAAAATCATGCAAAACGCACATTAAAATGCATACAAAACCATGCCAATCACGATTTCTTTTCTTTACTATGAGAATAAAAATGCACCAAAAAAGTGCAAATCTGACCAATTTGAGTTGCTTCAAAAGTAGCTCCAAAACTTTTTTTTTTTCTGCTTCAGGCGACTTGAAGTGGAGATGTGAACCATCCCCATAGAGTAATTTTGATTTTTTTTCCCCTGAGTGTTTTGTAGCTTCGAGCTTTGCTCTACAAAATGCTCACATGTGAATGGGGCTTGAGGGTAGGATTTTACGTTTGATATATTTTATTGTTTGAGGGTATGCCAATTTACCATATTGTTCACTGTTTCAAGGAAAATTATAATGGTGTTTTGTTTTTTATTTTGTTTTTGAAAATGTCCAGATTTATAAAGCGATCTTGATATAATTTTTAAATATTTGCATAAAATGTTTGATAAATAAACATTTTTTAATAGGGTGTATTCATGACATTTAGTTTTCAAAGCACTTTTCAATCACAAAATTGCTTTCTTGCTGAATGGCAGCAGGATAATATGAAATTCTAATTTGCAAGATTTACCTAATTACATCTAAAGTGAGATATTGTGAGAATATTTTATTTCTGACATTGGCTGTATCATTAAGAAATGGCTCTAAGGCTTACTATTTTAAATTGCACTTAAGTGAATTTCAATTTTTTGTCACATTGGGACTAGTTTAGCCTTCAGTACATTTGACCAGATCGTGACTTTTTTTTCATCTTCCTGTCCTGCATAGTGAAGCGGTTCTCAATATGTTTATAATTAAAAACATGCTCTGTTTTTCTGCCCTATTGTACAGTATATTTTCAGATAGAGATGTGAAATTTAAGCACAGTTGTAAAACCAGATTGCTAGTATATAACTATATCTTTCATAATTTTCAGGGTCTGACTGGAAATCCAGGAGTCCAAGGTCCAGAAGGAAAACCAGGTCCAGTGGTAAGTCACACATTGGTTATAAAAATAAAGGCATCCTGCAAAACAAACCAATGTATTAACTATTGCAATTTTTTTTTTGTTTACAAACGTTTTTATTAGGAGAGACTACAAAAAAACGCACCATTTAGTGAAGTAGAATAAACAGCGTGAAAAAAAGCATATATAAGAAATTAACAGAAATACAAAGTACAATGCATCCAATCCAGCAACGTATAGTGAATACGTTCCATAAGCATAACCATATCAACTGTCCGTAAGACAGAAGCCAAAGGGAGTACTGGAGACTTCCAATAAAGGCAAATTTGTCTTTATTTGGTTTTGCAATAAATCAAACAATGCATAGTATCAAAGAAAGAATTATGGGAACATCAACAGTGATAAGGGTGAATAAGAACTTTCAAATGGGAATTAGCGTAGTCTATGGATTCGGGAGATAAGGGTCCCTTCGTAGTTATAGAGGGGGCATCCCCCAACAGGCGATATTCAAGGATGATACAATAATTCCTTAACGTCTAAATGAGAAACCCTTGTAGAGAATAGTGGAAACGCTTGAGAGAGAGCGAGGCAGGGAGAAAGAGATATAGGTAGGGCAAGAGGGAAAGAGAGAGAGGGGGCGAAGAAAGTCAAGAATGAGAAAGAGGCGCAGAGAAGAGAGGAGAGGGGGGAAAGAAAGAGAGAAAGAGAAGAAAAAAAAAAAAAGGGGGAGGGGAGAAGATCCTGGGTGGGGAGGGTGGCTGGAGCAGGCCTGCTAGGTGGCCCGCCGCTGGTATTTCACCAGAATGGTCCCCTAGGTCACCCCCTCAGGGTGTGTCAGATACTTGAATCGGGGGGTATGCCTGGGGGCGTTGAGTATGACTCCATCAAATCCCATCAGGGGCGCACAAATTTCGCAGGAGTGAGGAAGAGAAGTGGAGCCAGACCGACCACAACAGCTTGTGTTTATCGAAAGTGTCGTTGTCAAATGCCAACATTTCCTCCATGCGCATGGTATCGTTTAGCACCGAGACCCACACAAGGGTCTCCATTGGTTAAGGGAACCGGTCGTGTCTGAGGAGTGATCAAGGACAAAGTGTTGTATGGTCTGTGATACCTCTGCGATACACAGGGAGTCCTTGAGCAAAGTGTCGTTCAGACGCCAGGAGAAATGGCGCGTCGATGTCGGTCGGTCTTGGATTGCCAGGTGTATTGGGGCATGGTCAGACCACAAAAGGTGGCCAATGGCGGAGGAAGTTGGGTGGTCGAGGAGAGATTGCGACACAAAGAAGTAGTCAATGCGACTGTACGACTCGTGTGCCGGGGAATAGTAACTGTAATCTCGCTCCGATGGGTGTTGGGTTCGCCAGATGTCCACTAGGTGTAAGTCGTGAAGGCGCGACTTAATGAGGAATAGGGTCGTCACAGGGAGAGAAGATTTGCCCATGGAAGTGTCAAGTTCCGGCGAGAGAGCCATGTTAAAGTTCCCTCCGTCTATGTAACAGGGACCACCAAAATCAGATAGCTTAGAGAGGACCTTTGTCAGGAATGGGGCTTGGTCTTGGTTGGGGATGTACACATTCGCTATCGTGAAGACAAAGTCTTGAAGCTTTAGCTTGAGGAAAAGGTATCGACCACTGGGTCGATGAGTGAGTCCAGGACCTCTGGGTTGAAGGTGTGATCGACACCCCCCCAGACCTAGCCAGTGGATTAATGCTATGATACCATTGAGCAAAGTGGCGATTACGGAGGGCTGGGATACTATCCAAGCAAAAAATGGGTCTCTTGAAGGAGCAGGATCGGCGAGCCGTGCTTGTGGAAGTGATATAGCATCTGGCTCCTCCCCTACAGTTGATGAAGGAAAATTTGATCGGAGTCATAGTCGGGCCATGCGACAAGTAGGGGTGGGATGCGTCACCCAAAACATTGCCTAAACCCTCCCTTGGGTTGGGTGAAGGGGAAAGAAAAAAAAAAGAGAAATGGGGGGGGGTTATCCCCTGAGGCTAGGTGAGAGGGGGATGGGAAGATAGGGGCAGACAAAGAAAGAAAAGTAACAAAGAAAGCTACCAGACAGACACGCTGTCTGAACACGCAGTGTGTTATACAATACACTGAGGGCCTAGGTGGGGAACATCACAGGCGCACATGTCCGATCCCGACCCAAGCCCCCCACAGGCAATTGGCAACTTCAAGGGGGGTCCCCCCGGCTGGGGGTGACCCCCCTAATCAAACATCATCAGCGAACCCTCCAGCATACTTGTTACAGATAAACAGTTGGGTCCCCCCCTTGAGATGTAAAACTAGGGTAGAGAAACACAACCAGGTGCTAACCTGGTGAAGATTTAGGCAATTCGGGGGGGCCTAGGGCCCCTGTGAGTAAGGCCACAATTGGCGGCGGTGTCACCTGAGGAGGGTCCTCCCGCCACAGCCCCAGAGTCCCGAAGACAACAGGCACAAGTTTATAAAAACTGAAGAAAAAAAAATGTAAAAAATAAAATTAAAAATTAAAAAATTTTAAAATTTCAAAAAGGCACAAAATCAAGCGAATAGAGCACACAGAGAGAAATAAACCACTCAGGTAAGGGTGGACAAGAATGGCGGGCTTGTCTCTAGTTATTCAGGTAGTGTTCATCCTTCTGGGTTCTTCTGGGAAGAGGACCCGGCGCGTTTCTTCTTCTTTTGGTCGGACCGCTGCCCTGTGGGTGGGGGTGGGGGGCCAGGGAATAGGAGCTGGTGGGGCCAGTCCAGGAGTGCCACTTGAGGTTGGCCAAACACCCCTAAAAATGTAGGTAAGTCTCCGATCGTGCAAAAAAGGGCGGATTTACCCTGATGCGTCGCTTGGAGCTGGAATGGGAATCGCCAGTGGTAGCGGATGTTCCTTTCCTGCAACATCTGGGTGAGGGGGCGCAGGGCCCTGCGCATGGCCAAGATCTGACGTGAGAGGTCAGGAAGTAGCATCACCGGCGTTCCGTTGATTAAGATGGTGTCCTGTAGGCTGGCTGCACGCATCCTTGATTTTGAAATAATGAACCCTGCATAGGGTGTCGTGGATAAAAGGATGGGTCAGATTTTCTGGGGCCCATCGTGTGGTGTACACGGTCCAGCTCTATAGGGGTATCCTTGGGTTGCTGCAGTAATTGGTTAAAGATAGAGGAAACCGCCACGGCCAGGTCTTTAGGTTCAACTGATTCTGGGATGCCCCTGATCCGAATGTTGTTGCGGCGATTTCTGTTTTCGATATCGTCCTCTTGATACAGGAGCTGCTGTATGAGAGTGCCGTATGAGATTTAAGGGTCTCTTCGTGCGTTTGAAGGATGTTACTTAGGCCGTCAGTAGTGTTCTCAATTTCATCCAGGCGCGCGCAAACGTCTTGTTTGAGTGCGGCGATTTCCTGTTTATAAGTGCGTTCGATACGATTCATGCAGTGTTCAAAATCCGTCTTTGTGGGGAGAGATCTAATGTATGTGTGTAGGGATCTCATGTGGGACTGCAGGTCCCAGCCATCTTCAGAACAAGGGGATGGTCTTGGGCTTGGCGAGGGGCTGTGGGATCTCTGTGTGGCCCGCGCACACATCCGTGTATTGGGGAAGTGGGCTCCTATTGCTCCCCGTGGGCTCTGTGGTGGGGGGGGGAGTGTGGGACCCCCGTGCGGCCTGCGGACTCCGTGTTGGAGAGGGGCTGAGGGCCCCCCACGTGTCCCGTGGGCTCCGTGGTGGGGAGGGATTGCGGGACCCCCTGTGATCCAATGTATCAGTGTCTCTGTGGTGCCCCCGTGCGCCTCCTTCATGTGTGGTGGTTAGGGGGCTGCAGAATCCCTGATTGTCCCTTTGTCCCTGTGTGGGGGAGGGGCTGTGGAGCTCCTGAGGGTCCCGGGTCCGAGGTGCAGGGGAGGGTGGTGCCGAGGGGTCCCCAGGGCTGGCGGGGGAATCAGAACCCCCGTGGGCTTACCTGTTCCTCGATCCCTGGCTCCGGAGTCCTCGTATCCCCGCGTGCAGCAGTGGCTGCAGCCGTCGGCGCCAACTTGGATGCCGGGGCGCTTGCTTGCTTCGCGGTCCCACGGTCGAACCAGATACCGGCTCAGAGAGCCGCCGGATCGGTCCCCACTCGTTTCCCTGGGGATGCAGTGAGTTCTTCTCCCTATAGCTTGTGCCTTGGGCTCCAGGAGAGGGCGGATTAAGCCTGTGTACTGGGGCTCGGGCCAGGAGCTGAGCAGATGTGCTGCTTAGCTGTCCATGCACTTGGCCTCGCCCCCGAGACTTCCAATAAAGGGCAATGGCCCATAGGGCGGAATTGCAGATTGTGTGAATTAGCCTCATTTGGATTACTGGGATCCCCAAAAGTGATACACCTAATAAGCAAATTTGCAAGGATAAGAATTATTTAATTGCAGTTTGCATGATCAATGAGTTTAAGAACATTTTACATTTCACTGTATTGAGAATAACTAGAATAACGAGGAAAACCAATTCTATTATAATTGGCACAAGGATGGCAATAGACAAGATGGTTATTAGAAATGGTTTTGTTCACAGTCACACTCTATTTTTTCAGACCTCTTAGTATTCAATGTATGTGTGCTATTTTTCTATACAGCAATTAGAAAAATATTCCCCCTTTGAAAACAATTAACTCAGGCTTGATAGGTTTCTTCCTGTGGTCACATTCATTATGACACTTGGAATCTGTTTCTGAAATGTAAGATTTATGCTGGAGGTTAAGGTTAGGGTAAGTATTAGGGTCCGGTTTAGTGTTTAAGGTTATGTTTTAAAGGTGAGTTTAAGTTACGGGTTAAGTATTAAGTGATAGGTTATGTGCTATTAAGAGTTTTAAGTTAAAGAAGATCTGTAGTCTCAGCATACACTATCATTTAATAACATCAACATTATAATAGCAATGCATATGATATTTATTTTGACAATACAATATGCTGTAAGCTTACTTAGAAAACTTTATCCGTGTTGTGTATGTTGCCATCTCATAAAATCTCCTGGATTCCCTGAGTGCTTTCAAAATAGAAGCTCCAGATTTCCTAAAAACATGGAGCCTCAAGTAGTGGAATCCCTTAAAAAAATTATTACTCTTTCTAGTACAGGTATACGGGTTCATATTTACCTTTACGTCTTTTTAATGTTGTCCTTATTGGGTAGAAAGATGTATACAATCCTACCTATAAATATGGAAAGACTGCAACTGCAATTTTATTATATTGTTTAAATTGAGATATTTATTTGTTGGCTTTTTGTAGGGAGCTCCTGGAGAAGATGGTCGTCCAGGTCCTCCTGGTCCAATTGGAATTCGTGGTGAAACTGGTACCATGGGGCCTGCGGGTCCAAAAGGCAATAGTGTACGAACTTAGGCTACTTATTAAAAAACAAATCAAAAAGAATGACATTATTTTGGTATGCTAATTAAAATGAAAATTGTCTATTTTTACAGGGAGATCCTGGAAAACCAGGCGAACAAGGCAGTGCAGGAGTTCCTGGACAAAGGGTATGTTTTACGTTTTATTTGATGTGTGGTTGGTTGTTATTTTAAGCATTGATTCATTCATTTTCAAAGTCTTCTTAAAGGCTAAGTTCACCTTTTGCAAAAAACTAATGAATGCACATATGTTTGCAGAAAAAAGTGTACATTTATTATTTTTTGTAAGGTAAACAAAGAGTAAATACAAACCAGTCTAGCAGCACTGTATAGCGTAAAACCACAAACAAACAACAGAGAAAAGGAAAAAGGGCAACAATCCTCCACCACCCGGTGATAAAACAGGGCAAGTGAGTAAAGTGTCCTCATCACAGTGTAACAGTCCAACCTCAGACTGTTACACTTTGATGAGGACACTGTTTTATCACCCAGTGGTGAAGGATTGTTGCCTTTTTTTCATTTTCTCTGTTGTTTGTTTGTGGTTTTATGCTGTATAGTGCTGCTAGGGTGATTGGTATTTACTTTTTGTTTGCTTTGAAGTTTTAAGTGATATATTGTAGCTAGCTGACAGCAGGGTTCATTCACAAATCCTCCTAGAGTAGTATACTATTCTATACTTTTTTTTTATAATTTTTTTGTAAATGAGCTTGCAAAGCATTGCAACCATGATCAGTGAATCACAGGTGCAATGCCAGGCTTCTGCACACTCTCCCTCCAGCTGCCTATACCGAGCTTCCAGATGGAGAACATAAAAGTGTCAATGGACTATGGGAGTGGTGATTACCACATTTGTATTCCATTGAGGACTTGTAGTTTATCCATTCACATACCTCTGTGAATGAATGATGTGTATGCGCCTGTCGAGCTCGGCACAGCTAGGTCAATTTTAAATCTGATAGCTGCTGCGGGAGATGAGTTTGTTACATGTCAAACCTTAAATAGGGATGTAACATGTTACATCGTCGTAAAGGTAGGGAAGGGTTAGAACTTCTTTTGGCTTTTAGATCTGCATTCCATTGAGGACATGCTTCTGTTTTAGAAGCATTATGTGTCCTACGGCGATTCCATCACTTCCTGCTCTAAATGAAGACAAATCTACCAATTTTAAGAACTAAGAAATGTATCTATTATACTGAATACAGGCAAAATGCATCCTAAATTGATTTTTAACTAAATCAACCTCAACTAAATCTTCCCTGCCAAAGAAGATTTTAAATACTCAACTCTCACACAGTCCAAGCCCATAATCTCTGTAGTGAGAGAAATCGCTGGCTGAAGAATCTTTAGAAATTGACACCTCCAGAAGTGTCAGATTCCTGGTCCTCCTGTGCTCTGTTTTTTGATTCACTGGCACCCACTGTACATCACTATTGTGTCTGTAGTAATGTAGGTGTGGAAAGAGCAATAGCACACTGGGGACAAGTAATCAACACTACGGAACGTACAAGTTTCAGAAACATTTTTCAGCACACACAGAGGAAGAGGTGAGTAACTGAACTCTTATTTTTCAGGAGGCAACAGTTTTGGGTTTTTTGACAAAGTCACCTTAAAGACCTCATTTGTTTACCATAAATGTTTAATATAATTAAAGCAAGTAATTCCTTGGTTTGTGACTAAATACCTACTTCCATTACTATAGCAATACAATTCAAAATTAAACAGTGTTATTTAAACATACTGTATAGAGTACAGTACATAATCTTGTATTTATCTTATTACTAGAAATTTCGCAGTGAATTTTCATAAAGATACACAGAATGCTCATGATAAGACAGTGGCATAAAAATCATGGTATAAAACAAAAAAATATTTATGAGTTGAAATTCCCATTTACAGCATGCCTTTATTTTTAATAGGGAGCTCCTGGAAAAGATGGTGAAGTTGGCCCCTCTGGTCCTGCTGGCCCACCTGTAAGTAATGGACCTCATAAATATTGTTATAGTGTTGCACATAATGCATTATGACTGTAGAAATTAAACTATTGTCATTATTTATATTAAGGGACCTGCAGGTGAAAGAGGTGAACAAGGGCCACCAGGTCCTACAGGATTCCAGGTATTTTTGTTGTGTGTATTATTGTTAATATGTGGTATTTGTATCTCCAGTTAGAATGTTTGTAACCTTAATAAAATCTGAATGTATAAGTATTTATACATACATACATGAGCTTCATCTACTTGTTTAGGCTTTAACATGTTTTTTTATTTACTGTAGGGATTACCAGGTCCACCAGGTCCTCCTGGAGAGACTGGGAAGCCAGGTGATGAGGTAATTATGAAAGAAAGATTAGCAGAAACAGATTTAAATACAATGGAATTACCTGAGGGCCCTGGCATTGAATCCAAACATGAGAATATGTTCCTTAATAAATAAAAACTCCTTGTGACAGCCTGTAGTTGTTCATGCAGAAGTAAGGGGAAAGTGCCTTTTGTTTCCAGCAGTGGCTTTCTGAGCAACTAATGTAAAGATGCACGTATTGCAAACCAGCCCAGATACATGTGATACATAAGGGAAAAGTCCATAATGGCAGTGTTTGAGTCCAAACCAACAACTGTATCTAACCAGCTTGATATCAGTTTGTAATTTCTACTGGAGACTGTCAAAATGAAAGGATCATAGGCCTTGTTGGGAGCCATCTGAAGAATATTTAAAAAAATATATATATTTATAAAAATGTATTTTTTTTAAACATATTCTTCAGATTTTTGTAACATATAAAAAAATAATTTTAACATATATTTTTCTATATATTTGTAAATGCATTCCAAAAATGTAGATTTGTATTATTTGAAGACATACAGTATATTTTAAATTTATTTTTTTAAAAATTTTTCATAAAATTTGTAATAAAAATGCATTTCAACATGCAGTGTATATATATATAGATAGATAGATAGATAGATAGATATTTATTGAAATATATTGAATATGGCCAAAATTGTAGCATTTCAAATATATGTCAATATATTTTGGAAGAATATTTTTAAAATATATTTCAAATATATTTTTTTCCACATGGGTGTAGATTGATAAAATGGCACACACATGGTTACCACATAGAAAAAGGATAGGAAGTAAAATGTACATAAACTAACTTAAGATTCATAGTCAGGCAGTTAGGGCATTGATATTTTAATATAATTTTTTTTTTGTGATTTAGGGAGTTCCTGGAGATTCTGGAGCTGCAGGACCTCTTGGACCAAGAGTAAGTACTGTCTATATAATGCTTTTTTACAGAACATTTACATAATAGATGTATTATTCAGTGAAAACATGTATTAAATTATTTCATTAAGGGAGAGCGTGGTAATCCTGGTGAAAGAGGAGAACCAGGTGCTTCAGGACTTCAAGGTGAAAAGGGCATGGCTGGAGGACATGGACCTGATGGACCAAAGGTAAATTTTATTTTTTGGGGAAAATATTTGTTAATGTAAAGAAAAAGATATAATTGAATATATGAAACCTTGCACCTGTTCAAAATCGTATCCAAATTACCACAGTATGGATGATTTTAGCTGTCATTGAATATTATGAGTATAAATCTTAATCGGACCTATTTAGGCAACAGTGTTGAAAATTCATTCACTAGCAAGATTGTGTTGTTTCAGAAACAGTCAATATAATCAAACATTGTAATCTAATTTTATGTATAAAAATCGAGATTTTTGTGCGTTTTGCATTATTATCTGACTAATTCCTAAATGCACAACTTATTTTTGCTTACCCATAAGTCAATATTTACAACATTTTGTTTGGTAATTTAAATGGTATTGTACTAAAGCATATTTACTAATATAGATATTATGTTTGTGATTCTAGGGAAGTCCAGGTCCAACTGGGGCAGGTGGAGATGTTGGACCACCTGGTCTACAAGGTATGCCTGGAGAAAGAGGGATAGCTGGAACACCAGGCCCAAAAGGTGACAGAGTAAGTATTCTTTTGTGTCAGCCTTTACTATTTTTTGTGTTTTTTTTTAGCAAAGAGCAAATAATTAATTTATATACTTATCTATATTAGGGAGGTATTGGAGAAAAGGGTTCTGAAGGTACAGCTGGCAATGATGGAGCAAGAGTAAGTATACAATTCAGAATCTCTGATTCTGTTTGGTGGTTGTGAGGTTTATCCCACTGTGATAGCTGAGCCCCATTACATAATTATTTTAAAACTCTGAGTACATGGTTGCCACATCAGTTAACATCTGAGCCACTGCCCATAATTGCAACAGACTCAAAAATGTAATTTACAACTTTTAATGGCTACGTATTTTTAACAATTCAGTGTTTTGTGATGTGAAGAATAGATGAGATTGAGAGCCACCAGAGTTGCAGCTCCTTTATTTCCACACTGACCAGATCCCATGCAACCATGGTGGGAAGCATAATAGATATATTCATAGCTGGTTCATAGTTTGCCTGTGTATTATCACCTAATAGAAAATAGCATCAGAGTCCCTATAATCTGTTATATGGGGTACATTATTCACCAGTCTGCCAGATATACAGTAAGTTAACTGGTAGAGTCCCTTGGATTCTGTACTAAATAACTCCCTATTCTTGTTCCAAATCTTAGAGAAAGCCCCCTCCCCCTTTGTCCCTAACTGAGGGGACAGTTCACTGTATCTTACCGCATCTGAGTATGCATAAGATACCACACAGCTACTAAAATACTGCATGAGTTATATAATTAAGTTATGGGGTATTTTAGCAGTGAACACATTCTTTCATGTTTCAGGTGTCAGCAGGGTGAGCACTAACAAGCGAGCGCCCCCCCCTCCTGAAGCATACCAGGCCACATACCCTCAAGGTACCCCCCAAAGCACCTTGTCCCCATGTTGATGGGGACAAGGGCCTCTTTCCCACAACCGTGGCCGGTGGTTATGGGGGTCTGTGGGTGGGGGGCTTAATGGAATCTGAATGCCCCCTTTAACAAGGGGAAAATCTGGATGCCCCCTTTAACAACCACTTGTGATGTCATCATGCACTGTGATTGGCCAAAGCATTGCACCTGACCTGTGGTGTGTTCGCTAAACACATGAACGGCTGATGTTTGAGTCGAACTTATGTTTGACTCGAATAGCATGCCCAACACTATATGACTGACATGCCGTTAGGCATTTGCCACATCTTTATTATAATATTTTCCTTTATTCTGAGTTATCTCAGGTTCTATTAAGAAAGCAATAGAAGTCCATAATAAAGCATGCAATAATGATGTAATACACCCATGATGTCATGGACTATGTCAATCATAATAGATATAGCACTGGGATTGGTTTGGTTTCCAGATGAAAAAGGGGGGCAGTTCCCTTGAATGGAAAATTAGGTCTCCCATAGTGGAAAAAACACCTATTCACCAGGTTCACTTCACTTATTGAGCAGATTGATTCACCCGGCAGTGCAGAGTTTTGAGATAACACCAAGAAACATGGTAATCTGGAAAAAAAAGGGCATATCATAGCTCAGAGATTCAGTTACTGTTATTCAAATACTAAAAGCAAATACATATCTAATTAATCTTCTAATAGATTTTAATTTTTTGCATTACAATAGATAACCCAGACATAATTAAAAGGTAATTCCACTTTAATGGAAAAAACAGCAAATACAGAAAAAATAATATAGCATATACAATTGCTACACAAGTCATATTGTAACTGGATGTTAATAAAAATTACTTTTCCTTTTCATTCAGCAGCCACTGTCATTTTCTGTAAAATGCTGTGCAGTATAACAACCTGGAGTCGTTCTGTACACAGATGGTATACAGAACACCCCCCAGAAATTACATTTCCTGCATGTATGATTGGCTTACTGAAGTTTGTAGTAAGAGTCATATTTTGGGCATCCCCTGCAACACAAAATTTCACTTTTGGTGAGATATTCCCAGAGGTTAATCACATCTAAAAGGATTTAGACCCTGCCACTTTTCTCATTGGAGCTCTGCATTTGCAGCAATTGATTGATAATTATAAAATCACTCCCATTAACATTCACTTTGCACATCGGCACAGACAAACAGCTATTTTTCAGAATAACAAAAGGTAGGAATCTGCAACAAAGTTTGTTAAAAATCCTTACAATGTACCCAGAGGGGAATGTTTTTTTCTCAACTAAATTTAAATACTCTTGATTTTTCACTTAAAATGTATCTGGTTGCTTTTTAATTTTAGGAGGTGGTACCAAAAACATTGTTATTAATTATTAGTTTTTATTTTCTTTTGCATAGGTATTTCCCGTTTAAAATATGTAAAAAAATGATATTCTTATTTTTCTCTCAGGGTCTTCCTGGTCCACTTGGACCATCTGGTTCTGCGGGTCCAGCAGGTGAAAAGGTAACTTAATAATATCTAATAGTATGATTCAAAGAAATTCAACATTTATGAAACACTGGGGGAGATTTACTAAAACTGGTTCACTCAGAATCTAGTGCATGGAAACCAATCAGCTTCTGATTTCAGCTTGTTCAGTTAGGGATTGCCAATAAAACCTGAAAGCTGATTAGTTTCTATGCAGAAGTGCACCTAATTTTGCACTCTCCAGCTTTTGTAAATAAACCCCATTATGACTAATAATTATTTTTTTCTAGGGTGAGCCTGGTCCCAGAGGTGTGATGGGTCCAGTTGGGTCACGTGGAACTCCTGTGAGTAAATATTTTACATAAAATATTTTTTAAATAGGTTTATATTTTCCACTCAATAAATGCAGCTCAATCTAGTTTTTGTAGTTATAAGAATTTTCTAGGTCTAGAGATTAGCGAATTGATCTACCAGTTTGGACTATTTACCTAAAAAATGCTGACTTATATAAAATAGAGGGTTATGATTGTTGCCTAATTTGTGGACAGTGTTTTTTCACACTCCTTTAGTTTATTTATGGTATTGTAATGGATTATGGTTCCCCCCCAAAATTCGTAATTTTGCTACACCATGATTGTATTAGCCGATCTGCCTGTTCTTGATATGTGTTTCCAAAAATTAGGCTCCCATCCTAAAACACCAAACTGGTACTGACTGGCACAAGGTTCTGCTACATGCACAAGGAGGTGGTGCATGTAGCAGAACATTAAAATATATAAAAGTAAAAAATCAAAGTAAACATTGGGTTTAAAATGCATCAAATTAGAGATGCATTAAAAAAAAAAAAACTCCTAATTACAAATTTATTTTTAAAAGGTTTGAAGGCAATCATCAGTGACCTTTCATCTTTAGTCATTCTTTAGGGTTTCTTTTTTCTCATGTCATGAGGGCAAAAGTTGATAGATTGGAATCTTGGTACGACTGAATATATTTCTAATACTTATATAAAGTAGTGGTCACTGTGTTTTTGAAGTCAGAAACGTTAATATGGACCAGTTCCTATACTGCTATTAATTAATTGGTAAATTCATGCAATAGGTAGCATTGTGACCCTTATTTAGCTTCTCATTCTTGAGGAACCTGCTCATTTTAGAGAGACATTAAGGCTTTGGTTACATGCCCAAAGTCTTTCAGCCATAGCAATGCTGTGCTTGAACAGTAAACAGTGGTTTTAAAGGAAGGCTAATTGTTGTAAAAAATGTAACAATAATACATTTTGGGTATCATTGGATGCAAACCCAGAGGTTAGATCACTGGAGAGTATAGTACAAACTGCAAACAGAGCAGAGCAGACTTTTTATTAATTAATCATCCTAAGATGGTAGTTGTTTTTTTTTATAGTATATTGTATGTATCTTATAAGAATACTGCTTGAATGTTGAAGAAGGGGCTACACCATGAAAGGTTGTCCTGCAAATTTGGATTTTAGTGCAAATAAAAAAAGTATCATGGAGAGTTGTTTTTGTTGCAAGTTCACTTATATGACTACAATCACCTCAAGCTTAAAAATTACTAAAAAAAAAATCTCTCTTTTATGTTGTGCTTTTGCTTACATTTTGTAATTTCCTGTGTCAGGGTTCTCGAGGAGAAAATGGTCCCACTGGTCCTGTTGGTTTTGCTGGTCCGCCGGTATGTGTTTAAAACTGAAGTGCATTATGATTGTTCGCATGCTCAGTACAAAATAGGCATTAAATTGACACCATTGTATAATAAAAGAAAATGAAGACTGCAGCAACCTAAAATTATGTGTATTCTTTTGATTGATAGGTAACAAACATTTGTTTGGAAAGTTTAGCTCTACATGCTTAATGAGTGTGAGAGACTTGCTTTTCAATACACATCATTAAATGTTGACCTTTCACATTTTTCATTTCACAGGGTAACAATAACCATTCAAAAAATACTTTCACAGAGTAGAAATATGTTCATGAAAGGAAAACATTACTTTCTTGGTTGTATTGTCAGAAATAATAAAAACTGAAGCTCTGAAAACACTCTCTTATATGGGAGAATTTTAGTTTACTGTATCCACTGGTATACTGTGTGCTGGTATATTTTGAAAACACACATTAGATATTTGTAGAGTTAATTCTTTATATTTATGTGCTATTGCCAAATGACCAAAATCATTAAAACACAATCTGCACATCTTTGTCTTAGGGACCTGATGGACAACCTGGAGTGAAAGGAGAACCTGGAGAGCCTGGTCAAAAAGGGGATGCTGGATCTCCTGGTCCTCAAGGTCTTTCTGGATCTCCTGGTCCGCCTGTAAGTAACAGGAATGTCAACAAGTGCATTAAAAGAACATTCTGATAGCCACCACAGTTGTTTTCATTTTATAACCTAACCTGTAATTTATTTTTTCAGAGAATAGCAATTAAAAACATGTCAAAGTAATACAGGTGACAAAGCAGTAACAAGTATTTTATATATGAAGATTGTACAGATCGTGTTGGAATTCAGTATGCCCCTGAATATGATATATTATATATTTATAATACATATTATTAGTAAAAAATTTCAAACTTACAAATCAGGCATAAAAGAATACACGCTATATTACTGATTAAGCTTTATAACTGTTTAGAATAAACAGCACTATAATGCAGCATCTTTCCTTCAGGGACCTCATGGTGTGCCCGGACTTAAGGGTGGTAGAGGAACCCAAGGACCCCCGGTATGTACAGATATATTTATGTTTGAAACAGTTTTATTTTCTTTATTTAGCAGATAAGAGTACACACAATGCATGATTTTCGATCAATGGATAACAAAACAAACATGTTAAATTTAAGTATAATTAATATCTGTTGACAGTTTTATATACATTAAAAAGTGGATTATAAAGGATATAACATTTTTTTTTTAATTCTGAAAGAAATCAGTAATTGGGGTTAATTTACTAAAAGAGTCAAATGTGTTACTTTGCAAAGTGAATTTTCACTTTACCAAGAAGTTTTCATGTATGCCCAATGATTAAGGTGAAACTTTGCTAACTTCAATGATCCAATAATGTGTAAGCACAAGTCCTGTACTTTTTAAAAATGTCCTTGAACATTTGTATCTTTCCAAAGTACATATTTACCACATTCACTAGATTGACTGAAGATTCCCTTTCAAAGTGAAAATTCCTTGCAAAGTTAACATGAGCTACTCCTTAATAAACCATCCCCATCGTCTCATGTTCTACTACAATAATTGTGGTATTGGTTGAACAATTTAATAGACTAGATATACTAAAAATAATGCGGAAAAGGCAGAGGCCCTTTATATACCTTTTGTTTTTTATGAAACATTTATGCAACAGAATATCATGCCTTAACTGGAAAAGTCTGGGGTACTGCATTTTTTATTTTGCTTGTGTAAAGAATTTAAGTTTCTTTTTTCAAAATATTTTATAAATTGTGTTTCTTATATTTAACTGCATATTTGCTGAATATTTCATTTTTGTTTTAAGGGAGCAACAGGATTTCCTGGCTCAGCTGGCAGAGTTGGACCTCCTGGGTCTGCTGTAAGTAAATCAAAAATATGTACTTGTCAGCTGTAATGAGACAGAATGTTCTTCTATTGTTCTGGTTTGTTTTTAACTCTATTTTAACTCGGGCACACTAGCATATATTTATATATCACAATAAATTACATGGTAAAAGTACTTTTTTATGACAACCAGTAAGTTGCCTTCTTTCAAGAATAGTTATGGTTTGTTAAGTTATAATGTGGAGAGAAGCAAATCTGAGAGGGTGCTGTATGTGCGTGCCCTCTATACATGGCACAGCACTAATGTAGTCATCAATACACATACAATGCAAGCTTAAACAAGCACATGGCATCCCCGCTTATTTGGAACAGGACAAAAGGATAATGTGATATCAGTTATCCTAGGTTCATGTAGAGATCCATATTTCTAAGATAGTGTGAATAAGATCTAGGTAACTTAGAATCCATGGAGGTGTAGCTTCTTAATTTACTATATTTGTGTTTATATTAGGTAAGTAAACTTTTGTTTTTTCTTAACAGGGAGCTGTGGGCCTTCCAGGCCCTATTGGTGATCCTGGCAAGGAAGGTCCACCAGGTATTCGTGGTGAGCCTGGTTCACATGGTAGAATTGGAGACAGAGGTCCTGCTGGCCCCACTGGAAGTCCTGGTGATAAAGGAGACCCTGGAGATGATGGACAGCCAGTATGATTTGTTATATTTTTAAAAAAATGATTTGAACTATTTGTACTCCCATGTTGATGTGCCAGAGGTTTTTAATGAGAAGTCATAGCTACTTTGTAATGAAGTCACCTACATGCTAAAGATTGTAAAGGTTACAGTTTTTTTTAATAACAAACATGTACTTACCAAATAGTTACCTGATCTGTGCAATGGTTTTGTACAGAGCAGCCCCCAACCTCCCCTTCTCTTCCTCTTATGATGCCATATTATGTATCTATATGACTGGTCTAGGTTTGTTTCATGTAGTGCTAAAAAGACACATCAATTTTGAACTAATTATTTTCAGATTAATTTGAGCAGTATTCTCACTAAATCATTCTCAGTTAAAGTGTATTCATTTGTTCCCTTTTTTGTATTAGGATTCCAGCTGAGAACAGAAAATCATTGTTTTGCTTAATTCAGACATTTAAATGAAACTGTGCTTGACCTGTCCACTGTTTTGTTTTTATTTTGGCCTCCTAATACATTAGTTATATGAGATCAGAAATGGACATAAAAATTTGATTAAAATAGCAACAATCAACATCTATATTTATCAGAATCTATTGGTTGAGTTATAATTAATATAGGATCGTTGGACTGCAATAGTTTTAGACTACTTGGCAAAAAAAGATAAATCATGATCCTCTTTTAGGCTCCATGTACACTGCTGCTTCTAAACTCGAGTTTAGGAGCTTTTGGCATTTTTTTGCCAAAGCTCCTAAACCCAACTCCATAAAAGCCTATGTGTCCATGTACACATAGGCTTTTAGGAGAGTTTAGGAGCTTCTGCGTTTAGGTGAGGCTAAACGTCCCTCTCCTGAACGCAGAAGAATTCAGCATTCAGGATAAGAACGTTTTGACCGCCGGCTGCCGGAAAACGGAGAATGCTGCTATACAATTTTACAATTTTGTATAGGATAAAAGCAGCTATTTTACACATTTTTTATAAACCATCAATATACTTTCCAAGACTATATTTTCAGTGTTTGCACTATACATATAACAAAGTATATTATATTTACCTTTTATTTGTATTCTTAAATTTTAGGGTCCTGATGGTCCACCAGGTCCATCTGGAACAACAGGTCAAAGGGGTATAGTTGGCATGCCTGGTCAAAGAGGAGAAAGAGGAATGCCAGGACTTCCAGGTCCAGCTGTGAGTATCTCAGTAGTATATGTGCATTTTAAAACTAAATAATAAGTAGAAGGTATGCAATGTATTTGACCGCTCAACTTTTTCCACTATGGTAGATGGTGTGTGATTTTCCTGAAAAACCCATATATCAATTGATCAACATAAGCAAATGTATTAAACTCAACAGACCTAAAATAAATGGTCTACAATACAGAAGTAGTGATCAGGCTTCTTTATCATTTTAAACCTTATCCATTGAAAACTCGTAAGTTCAATAACTTTTGTAGTAAAAGGAACAGTTTATATTAAAAGATATCTAAATCGAAGAACAAAAATGTAATCTATTTCAGCTTACCAGTCCTTAAATGTGGTGACTGCATTAGTTTTCAGTGTGCATGTCACTTCATGTGAGCAGACCTGAAGGTACAAACAATGTTATATTTCTTATGTGTAAACTACCAATCCCCTCACACCCCCTGTAATAGAGACAAAGAGAGGAAGAGATCTTTGAAGTCCAGCCTGGGTGACAACCATGGCTCCCTCTGTAGATACAGTAGAGTGTATGAGTGTTCCCTTGGTACAGGAAATGTGTTATTCACAGGATTACCAGGCAAAAATAAGGAAAACACTTGAAACAAAGAGAACTAGTACAATCTTCTCATCTAAAGCCTGGTACATGGAGGTCAAATATCAGTCGGTATTGGCTGATTTTACAGAAACCAGCTGACATTCAGCCTGTGTGTACAGCAGCCCATCCGACTAAGGCCAGCCTAAAATCCAGATTCTGTCCAACAGGCATGCTGAAAAAACAGCAGCTGATCGGCATCTGATCAGCACTCACAGCCAGTGGCTGCAAGCGTTGACCGGTGTGTTTCAGGCAGGGGAGCAGTCCCCCTGTCAGAACACAATAGCTCAGCGGGGAGATCGCTGTGTTAACAACACTTGTGTAATTATACTTTTGCTTGTATTGTGCAGATTGCTGTTAGTAGAATGAGACTTTTTCTGAACAAGGAGCTCTATTGCTGTCCTGAGAAACAATAGCGCTGTGTTTCTCAGTGTCTTGAAAGTTGTACCCATTACAAACTATTAAAGTTGAACACAAAAAACCCAGGAAGCGCTGTCAAATAGCACTAAAAATAAATAAATAAAATAGATGGCAGGGGCTTCTACAAACACCAGCAAATATCCTCACGTGATAGATATCAAAGAATAAACTAAAATTATGAAAGTATAGCACTGCCCCAATGTACAGAATACTAGAACCAATAAATAAATAAAAAATACAAAAATAAAAACATAAACGCTGCACAACTATCATACAATAAATATACTGGTGAAAAAAGTGCAATGGAAAATCAAACACAAAAGAAAATTAATGAATAAATAGTGACTAGATAAATGAATATATAACGAATGAATATATAACACATCTCCCACACAGCTCCAGCATATAAATAAATCTAATGTGATAAATGTGGTACTAAATGCATAAAGCACACTAGTAAACACCTGACAGCACCACGAGCCCACAAAAGTGCTAAGGTACAATCAGGGGCGGACTGACAACTCATGGGGCCCCCGGGCAATAGGGGATCATGGGGTCCCTGTGTCCTCGCCCACACTCAAACCACACCCAAAAAAGCCTATGAAAGGTACCAGGGACATCTCATGGGGCCCCCTACTGACCCCAGGCCCTCGGGCAGTGCCCGAATTCCCCAATGGTCAGTCCGCCCGTGTGCAATAAAATAGCAAAAAAGTGAATAATCCAGTGATTGCAAGTGAATAGATCAATAAATAGCTAAAAGTGACCCTTTATACACAAGGTGAAAAGTCCAGTATATGTCCACAGCAATCCTATGTGTTCCACACTCTGCATGGTCCAGGGAACACCAGTGATTCAAATCCAATCACTACCCTGGGGTCCGAACTGAAGGACCAGATGTTTATTTCCCTTACATTCTGATTTGTTTTATTTAAGTCTATACTCAGGTTTTTATTGTAAATGCATTTTTATATGTGTATTCATGGTTAATAAAGTACTGCACTATGAGAGGCGTATTTTCCTCTTTTGAGTCCATACGTCACCCGGGACTGTGGAAGATTTGAAGGGGACATATATCACTCCTTATCTTTAGCATTAGGATTGTTATGGCATATTGCTTCACCTAGTGGGTTATCATGGCAAGCTGGTCATTCAAGTTGTGAGCACATGTTGACCTGTTTTATATAGGTCAATTATTAAGGTCAGGGCGCATTTTATGTGGTGGAGATGCACTGATTGGATCTGAATCACTGGTGTTCACTGGACATACAGAGTGTGGAACACAGAGGATTGCTGTGGACTTTTATTGGACTGTCACCTTGTGTATTATGGATCACTTTTAATTATTTATTGTTCTATTCACTTTCAATCATTGGATTATTCACCTTATTGCTATTTTATGGCACATTAGCACTTTTGTGTTTGATTTTATAGTGCACTTTTTCACCAGTAGATATATTGTTTGTTAGTTGTGCTGAGTTTATGTTTTTATTTTTGTATTTATTTATTGGTTCTAATATTCTGTACACTGGGGCAGCGCTACACTTTTATAATTTTTTGTAAACTATTAAAGTTAGCCACCACCTCTAGCATGCTATAACTATTACCAATAGCTAATAAATGTTTATACAAATTTTGAGGAATCCTGTGTTTTGGGCTGACAAATATGCACTTTAATAAAGCATGATTTGTGTATGACATAAACTGACAAGAACTGTTATTCTGAGGATATGTAGCCAAAAGCACCTCTAAGAGAGAAAAAACAGGTGGCACACACAACTAGTGCATTATCTAAGGTTTATTGTAAGGAGTGAAAGAATAATAAAAACATACTCACAGAGGAAGCATGTATCTAAAAAGCATAGAAAAATGACAATGGCCACAACTGCAGGCAAGATGTTCTCACTGTCAGTGCGGTCAAATGGCTGACGCGTTTCGGTGACGAATCCCTTTCCTCAGAGCTGATGACCAGCCTCTGATGCAGATGTGTAATGAATGGAAAGTAGGAGCCTTGCTGTTGATGCCTCTGATGTAATTTTTCTATGCTTTTTAGATACATGCTTCGTCTGTGAGTATGTTTTTATTATTCTTTCACTCCTTACAATAAACCTTGGATAATGCACTAGATGTGTGCGCCACCTGTTTTTTTCTCTCTATCCAGTGGCTGATTTCCCTGTCTGAGGAGGGCTGCACCCCTGAAGCATTTCCTTTGGTTGTCACTGTCCTGGTACCCTTGGCTTCCATTTTGGCTGTGCATATCCTGAGGCGCTGGAGAGTACATACGATATCCAAAAGCACCTCTAAACCTGTCTTAAAGTAGAACTATAGACATTTTTTTCTAATTTTGGATAAAGTAAGGCAGGGTTATAACCCTTGTATGCCATCTGTGTCACATTGGGGAGATTTACCTTAATGTCCTATAGCCAAAAGAGGAAGTGAGGGGAAATCCCAGAACTAGTGTCCCCATTGGAAGATTTTCTATCTATTACTTTTCTGGGGACAACCAAAAATGTGGGATTTTATTTTATTTTCACTTAAATAATAATGGTAAACAGGACAAATAGAGAGGGTGAATCTCCCTAACAAGGGCACACACAGCACCTAATAGGTGTTCTTATCCCCTTCCACTCAGTTCAAAACTTAAAAAAAAAGTTTTGCCCCTAGTTATACTTTAAGTAACCCCGGATACACATGTACCACCTATTAACAAACTGTGTAGTAGGTGAATCAGTCTGCCATTGTCATTTCATAACTGTAAGATCTGTATATATAATTATATACATTAGCTTATAGACATTGGTGTCTTCTTACAAAAGATTGCTTCTGGCCCTTCATGAAGTCACTCATTCCTCTGGATTAAAATTTTGCTTTTGTAGACTTTAGTAATTTAAACTAGATATAACTGGCTGCAACATAAAACCTCCAGTAATATTTTTTAAATTACTTTGTTCCACACAGTAAAACATTTCACTCTTAAAAAGACCCTGTCCCCAATGTAACCATTCATTAAAAAAAATATTAATGGCAGGCAGACATTTTTCCTAAGCACCCTGGCTCCCTTGTGGGTTCAGAGGCCCAGCCCCATGGACCTCACCTCTAATGATGCATACTGTCAGGGATCCGGGTATGACCAGAAATGTGTGGACTGACACAGGGAAGTAACAGGCTTCAGAAATGATATAATAACAATATAATTTATTGTTAGCCGCCCAAATATACAAATGCACAGTAAACAAAACCAACCTTCCACTAATATTAGTATGTGCAGGAACACAGGCGTAGTCAGGGCTGGAGAAGTGGAATGGTCAGGCAGGCCTTATGGTTCTGTCAGCGGCCGACTAGCGGAAGCCTCTAGCGACCCACTGGCCGGAGTCCCCCAGGGCGCGGAGTCTAAGCCTTAGTCTGCTGGTTCACCAGAGCCCCTGATGGTGGGGATGGACTTGAGGCAGCCTGAGACCAGGTCCTGACACCAGCTGTGGTAGAGGCAGGTGCCAATGGCGTAGAGCAGGTAAGAGCCAGATGTGAAGAGGTATGCGTGGTCAGACAGCGGCAGACAAAGAATAACAAGTCACAGGCCGGGTTCGGTAACAGGAGGTCAGCCAATGGAAGCAGGCAGAGAATGGTCAGGACGAGTCAGGGGTCAGAGCAGGAGAGGACAGCAGTATCAGGATCAGGCTGGGTCGGCAACAAGGCAATCAGGAGTACAGGACAATCAGGAACAAGATACAGTGGCTCATGGGACAACACCAAGGCACTGACTGCAGGCCTGGCCATTGCTTAAATACACCTCCTGCAATCAGCCTCAGGTAATGGCTTGATTGCAGGAGTGAGATTCTGGCTGCTGAGAGCACCCGCTGGTCAGCACTGGTACTGCAGCCCACACGGCAGGTGAACCCCAGCAACACCTGTGGTGAGTCCATTCCTGACACATACTCTACTTAATCTATGGGATAGGCTGAATCGTATTGGTTCCTTGGCCCCTCCAATGTCCCCCCTGCAACCTTTAGCTGGCTTCCCCTAATTTTCACCAGGAGAGCAATTAGCTTTTTTTGGAACTTGAGCTAAAGACTGAGGTGTGAGTTGTGGCAGGTGTCTGGTGGGTGGTAATTGGATCCCGCTCTCCGCTCGAACGTGATAAATATGGAGCTTTTGTCATGGATGCCTGGTGACATAAACAGCTTGAGCACTTATTCACTACTCAAGCATGCACAATACATGCCCAATCCTCTCAATTCATGTGATTCTGTGCTGCTAAAGCTCCTATTGCAGGCATGGTTTGTACACATTCCAAATTTCTGTCAGTAGAAGTCTCTTACATTAAACCAATCTACACGGTGTCCCTAAAGTCTGGGCACATAGGAATTACAAACTATATGTTTTTTTCTCAATATACATTTTGCCACTGTGTCCAGACTTTAGAGACACCCTGTATACCAAAGAGTTGGAATGTAACCTTCAATGTATTTTCTCTGAAGTGCAACTGCAACAGCTCAATTGAATTCAAACACAAGAAATAATTACACAGAAATGATTATAAACTTTTAACCTGGTGGTATAGGGTGCTCACTGCCTTAGCCCATATCTATCCTTTCACTCCAGTCTTGTGCTGCAGGAACTGTGTCACGTTTCTGCACATTTGGTGAGACTGCCATAAAAATAATGCCTTTTGGGCAGATATAAAAGAGAAAATTGTGAAAATCTTGGATATACACATCCCTTTTACCCTCTGCATTTCTTACTCCACGTTCCTACTATTCTGATATATTTATATGCCTGTTGTTTTTTTACCTCATATACTCAAGGTAGCTAAGCTGCCAATATATTGGACACAGTCTCATGTCCCCAGTAGGATCACCTAGATAAAGTAGTGGACATAATGGATGCAGAAGATTGGATTACCACAATTTGAGATAAAAGGGAATGCTATACTAAGATGTGGGCCTCCTGGACACACTATGCTGATGGAATCGGTGAAATACAACCCAGCCCTGCCATTCTCATCACATCACAAGGAGATATTTTGGAGGGTCAACTTCCTCAACTGCCTTAGGACTTGGAGGAGGTGTGACCTCTTCACATTCACACCCTTACCCCTCCACCCACTTATGCTCATTTTTGTAAACCTCTTTACATCCAGCCTTTTTGTCATTTATTACATTGGCACTAGGGGAATGCTTAACCAATGTGATTGCCATTAGTGAGTGGGAAAATGTCCTAGCTGGGCTACAATGGGTCTTGCCCTGATTCAAGTTTTATGAAAATGATTCTTGCTTGTTTATTGAGTTTTGTTTTATTGAGGATAACTGTCACTCTATGTTAAGCCTCACAATACTTGTTTTCCCTTGATGTCGATTTACTATTCAATCTCATTGTTACCTATGGGGCTTATGCACTTTTTTTGCAGGATGGGCCCTGTCATGGGAACAATGAGCTTTGATAAACATGAGATACTTAATGCTTGTGCTGATGTGGGCCTGCTGTATACTTGTTGATCATTTATGGTTGGGATTACTGACCTTGTTGATACTATCACATGATCCACAGCTGTCTCTTTGCTATTATTTTTCTGCTAAATGCAAAATGTACTGCTGTGATCCTTCATCATTCTATGTATGATACCCCAGATTCTTCTCTTTCTGTATTTTATTTAGCTGTAAGCCACATACTACATTAGCAGTGGTGGGTTTCTATACTGTTTTTGTACTGAAAGAAAATAATAAATAAAGATTATCCAAAAAAAGAAATCTTTGCATAAAATCATATAAGAATAAGGATTATTTTTATTTTCATTCATGCTATTTATACATTTAACATTTGATGCATTTTATTTACCTGTAAAAAGCCTCCCTTGTAAAAGCCCCGAGACTGCTCTTGGTCACCACCATTTTGGATGTGATGTCAGTGGTCCCACACAACACAAGTGATACTCTATTGTATACCTCTTCACTCTACTATATCTAATGGAATGATTGTTCATAGCAGTAAAAGATACCAAAATTTTAAGGTAGTGTCCTGATAACAAGTTAATAAAATCTCTACCATGCTAACATCCCTTACTAGTAATGTTTCAATATTGTGTACTGTGTAATATATTAGTGGATCAGTTTTTGGTGTCTTTCAAAATCTACATTGCCTAGCAACATAGTGAATAAGAAGAATTGAATTCAAACTATATTTATAATAATTTTAGGACTGAACTTTGTGTCAGAATACTCAAACTATAAGAAAAGAACAAATTAGATGTTCATGTTTCTATATCCAGAAATTTTTTAATATATAACAGTACTATTTTGAATGTCTGTCTTCTTAGGGATCCCCTGGAAAACTTGGTCCTACTGGTTCTGCTGGAGAGAAAGGCCCATCTGGTCCCATTGGTCTTCCAGGTGCTAATGGTCCTGTTGGAGAGCCTGGTGCAGAGGTATTATATTGTGTTTATTTTCTGCTAACCATCAATATGTATTATTTATTTATATAATTTATTTATTTGCATTAGAAGTATTTATTTAAAAAGTGCTATTGCAGAGCCCCTATTACTATAATGCTTTAATATATCATGTCTATGAAACATAATTTTTATTAATTAAAGACATATTATTGCAAACAACTATTAAAACATCCAAATTTTAACAATGCTTAAATGTTTTTTTTATTCTTAATGTGTATCTGTCCTAAACTAAAAACGATCTTTTAAAGTGTAAGCACCTGAGAAATGAAAAATGTTACTTTACATGAAGTCCTCTTTCTTGTTCATCAGTGTACTACCAATATCTTTAAAAGACCTTCCCAGTCAAGCCTCCTGCCCCCTTGAATTTTGTATGCATCTTTTTCTGAAGGCATCTACTAAGTAGAAATTATTATGTTTTACGAACCTATATTACATATTACTAAAAGTAATTTAGTAAACATGGCAGCTTGTTGTCAAATGCTAAAAACATATATATTTTTAAGGGTCCTCCTGGTAACGATGGTGCCCCTGGACGTGATGGAGCTCTTGGAAAACGTGTATGTAGGCATTATATGTATTTTCATATGAAAGTTGTTTCAAATGGAAATTATATTTTACCAAATGTCATCTATCACATTAACACCAACATCACAAATTACCATTGATTAATGCATAGTTTCAGCACTTTATGAACAGAAACAGATGGTAGATTTGGATATATTTTGTAGTCTGTAAAAACAAACAGCTGAACATAATGTTTATTACCGCAGAAGAAGCTTCCCTAGAAGTTTTGCCTGCTCTACAGGTAGAATTGACCACTATCTGACTTGATGGAATGAATGTCCAGTGGATGTGTGTAATCTTCAGCATGTTCGGTGTCAACATTTTTTAAGATTTGCTAACAATCCAGTGTATAGTATTTATTATATTAAACTCCAACCAAAACTTTCTACTTAGCTTTGGATAAAGCAGGAGAGTTAGAGAATCTGTACAAAAATAATGGGAAATCTCTCCAAACAAAAAAACTCATTAGTAGAATGAAGAAGGATTAAAACTTCTGACAATTAAATTGATTTACTAAAAGAGTAATAGTTGTTTATTCACTTTGAAAAACATGTTTAAGTTAAGTTTACAGGGTGCAGGTGTGTTCTTTTTGAACACCGATTATGTAAGGATAATAAAAAAAATAATTTTTTCTTGCACATGATTTAATGATTACAGCTTTGAATACAGCTTTGCCCCATTCACAAAACTACATGAAAATAAGCTTTACAAATTGAACATGCTGTCAGCGTCAGCATGAACATGCTTACAAATTGAACATGCTGTTTTTTTGCTGTCGGCGTCTTCCTATTTCAATGATGAACTCTTACCGATTTCTTGTGCGGGTGTCAAAGGGACAGGGAGTGACGGAAGAGCTTCCCAGTAAGGTTACAGCCATAAATAAAAATCTAAAAGAAATGTTTTTTTTATCCTGCTGTATCAATAATTTAAAAAATGGACAAGAGTTTGGCATTAAAGGCTTATCATTTCCTTTTTTTCGTCCTTTGCAATCAAATATGTAAGAAAAATTTCACTACAGGTTAAGCTGATTGAATATATAATTATAATCTTGCAGGGGGATCGTGGTGATCCAGGACCTGAGGGCTTAGCTGGATCTCAAGGTGCTCCAGGAACACCAGGACCCATAGGTGCACCAGGAGAAGCTGGGCCAAGAGGTGAAACAGTAAGTAATTTTAATCAAATTATGTGCACCTATCAATTAAAGAAGGAAAAATAACAAAAAACAATTGAAGATGGTAATACTTGTTTATTTTACTTCATTATGCATTTTAATTTTGTATTTTTATTGAATATTTGAAATATTTAGCTAAAATTCAATTAAGACATTGACATATTACATAATTTGAAATGGAAAAAAATATTCTGTTTACTGTATTTTTAAACTATTTTTCTTCTCTTTGCTAGGGATCCCGTGGTCCCATGGGTCCTCCAGGTAGAGCTGGAAAACGAGGCTTTCCCGTATGTTTATTTTTGTATTTAATTGTTTGGTGAAAGTTATGTTGATATGTGATTCTCAATCCTAGGCTCTTTTTTCCCATGTAGGGGCCACAAGGACCACGTGGAGACAAAGGAGACAATGGTGAACGTGGAGAAAGAGGGCAAAAGGGACACAGAGGTTTTACTGGTTTGCAAGGTCTTCCAGGTCCACCGGTAAGTTTTGTTCTTTTAATGAGAGAATAATTCTAACCCATAATTGCACCTGGGTATTACTTTTACTCATATTTTATTTTGTGTTTGTTGCAACTATACAAATACCTTGTAATTGATTTTTCAGTAGGCTCTATTTAGTTTGCATCCCTACTTTCCGTCTGCACACACATATACATTATCATACTGCCAAAACATCAGTTTGACCTGTGGGCACAATGGCTGGGAAACTGAGTACACAGACACTTGGGGGTTTATTTACTAAATCTGGTTGACTCAGAATCTTGTGCACTTCTGCATGGAAAGCAATCAGCTTCCAGGTTTTATTGCTAAAGCTTAATTGAACAAGCTGAAGTTAGAAGCTGATTGGCTACCATACACAGGTGGACAAGATTCTGAGTCAACCAGCTTTAGTAAATAAACCCCTTGGAGACAACATAGAGGTTGCTATTTACAGATCTACATGAATTTGTCATCAGTAAACAATGATGATGTTGCACATGTTTTATGAATTTGGTGGAAGCCTTCCAACTACATGCTCACAGTCATAAAGGTGGCACATTTGCCTTACTGAGTTGCCCACCCTATGTTCCACTGGTACATGTTCTTAATTGAACATATACAATAATATACACTGCTCAAAAAAATTAAAGGAACACTTTTTAATCAGAGTATAGCATCAAGTCAATTAAACTCCTGGGATATTCATATGGTCAGTTAAGTAGCAGAGGGGGTTGTTAAACAGTTTCAGTTGCATTGGTGTTAATGAAATTGGACAACAATGAGACGACCCTCAAAACAGGAATGGTTTTACAGGTGGAGGGCATTGACATTTTTTTTCCCTATTCATCTTTTCTGACTGTTTTTCACTAGTTTTGCATTTGGCTAGGGTGAGTGTCAATACTAGAATTGGGCGATACCTGGACCGTAAAGAGGTTGCACAGGCAGTCTAACTCCTCCAGGATGGCACATCAGTACGTGCCATTGCCAGAAGGTTTGCTGTGTCTCCCAGCACAGTCTCAAGATCATGTAGGAGATTCCAGGAGACAGGCAGCTACTCTAGGAGAGCTGGACAGGGCCATAGAAGATCCTTAACTAATCAGCAGGACTAGTATCTGCTCCTTTGTGCAAGGAAGAACAGGATGAGCACTGCCAGAGCCCTACAAAATGTGAATGTCTCTGACCAAACACTCAGAAACAGACTTCACGAGGGTGGCCTGAGGCCCCGACGTCCTCTAGTGGGCCTTGTGCTCACTGCCCGGCACTATGGAGCTCGATTGGCATTTGCCATTGAACACCAGAATTGGCAGGTCCACCACTGGCGCCCTTTGCTTTTCACAGATGAGAGGAGGTTCACCCTAAGCACATATGACAGATGTGAAAAGGTCCGAAGAAGCCATGGAGAACGTTATGTTGCCTGTAACATCATTCAGCATGACTGTTTTGGTGATGGGCCAGTGATGGGTCAGTGATGGGGAGGCATTGCCATGGAGGGATGCACAGACCTCTACAGGCTAGACAATGGCACCCTGATTGCCGTTAGGATGAAATCCTTGGACCCATTGTCAGACCCTATGCTGGTGCAGTGGGTCCTGGGTTCCTCCTGGTGCATGACACTGCCTGGCCTCATGTGGTGAGAGTATGCAGGCAGTTCCTGGAGATGAAGGAATTGATACCATTTGATGGTCTCCATGCTCACCTGACCTAAATCCAATAGAACACCTCTGGGATATCATGTTTCATTCCATCTGACGACGCCAGGTTGCACCTAAGACTGCCCAGGAGCTCAGTGATGCCCTGATCCAGATCTGAGAGGAAATACCCCAGGACACCATTTGTTGTCTCATTAGATGCATGCCCAAACGTTGTCAGGCATGCATACAAGCACATGGGGGCCATACAAACTACTGAGTACCATTTTGAGTTGCTGCTATGAAATTTCAGCAAAATGGACTAGCCTGCTGCATCATTTTTTCACTTTGATTTTCAGGGTGTCTTTGAATTCAGTCCTCTGTAGGTTGGTAATTTTCATTTTCATCAAATGATGGGGTATCCTTATGTTCCTAACACATTACCCAGTCCATATCAGTATAGATATCCAGCATATTTTTCACCATTGAGATCTGATGTGTTTTCAAAGTGTTCCTTTTGAGCAGTGTGTATATTAAAATAAATGTAATCTTCAAGGCTAACATAAGGATACTCTAAAGTTTTCCTGGGATTGAAAAATAAAGGCTAACCGAAATGCTAAAATGCATACCTTTGCCTGAGAAGGGAATTTCAGCCAATTTCTGCTGAAGTCCTCACCTTCAACAGAGACAAATTAAGCAAGAGCATATTCTTCTCATTACCTGGAGTAGGCATGGTGCAGCATAGGAAAGGTAAGTATAAGATGTCCTATTACCATTCATTTATTCAAAGTAGTTTCATACTACCATTTCAGTATAGATTCAATTGAATGTGTAAATCTGCTTAATCTAAATAATATCTTAATAATATTAGTATACAACAAATGCACATTGTACATAGTTCTGTATTTTTGTAACTTAGTCTACATATTTTTTTTAATATATGCAATGTGCATTAATTAAAATGCATTAGTCATTCTTAATTATAGTGCATGCAAATGTTTTGGCAATATGGCACATACTAAACTTGTTTAAGGCATGTATTTACTGTTTTAGGGTCCTATTGGAGAACAAGGTGCTTCTGGTCTTCCTGGACCGTTTGGCCCCAGAGTAAGTCCCAAAATGTAACATTGTCTCATTAAAACGTATTATTGACTTCATATTCACATGGTGGATACAATTTATATAGATATTATATAGAAAAATATAGATATTTTTAGAGAAATAGGTTGTATAATAAAATATGGAACAATTATGTCTTTATCTAGGTCAAAGAACATACCCACATTATCATGTATATTCTACCAGTATAAGGCAAACATTACATATTCTACCAACATAAGGCAAACATTACATATCAGTTTTTGGTGACCCTTGAAGATATACACCATCTTAAGTCAGCAGTAAACTGACCTATGTTGCTTCACAATGTGAATGCTTCCATTTATTTTCCAACACCTCTGATATCATGAGCTTGGAGGGGCAATATTTTTCTTGTTACACGAAGAGAAACTGAATTGCCCATATATCCAATTATGTTGATACAGCGTGTTATTCAGAGTGTCTTTGGTGCCCGATGCATACCAATGTTGTTTTCTAGTTCCATGAAAATGCCAGGTGTAGGCAACAGGCTTTTAATGTGTATAGGTTTCTCATATATTTAAAGCTGAGCTGCTCAGCATATTACATTCCAACAATATACTTTAAATAGTCTCTTAAATGCACCTAAATCTGTAAGCAGTTAGAGTATACTTCAATTGCCCTATCCAAATACAAAACTGTTTAACTCCTTCACACCTAAGGGTAAAACAAATGTTCATGCCTAAGCACAATTTTGCAATTTTGACATGTGTTAGTAAAACCGTACATATCATCACAACTACTTTGTTAATCCAGGTGGATTATACCTTGTTTTTTTTCAGGACAAATTGGGCTTTTATTTGGTAGTAAATGGTAATGGATAGCTCATTTTTTATTATCAAAGGAAAAATGGTCCAAAATAGTAAAAAAAAAAACATTTTTTAAATAAAATTAGCTGAATATTTCTACTACTATAACCTACCACCAAAGGACAACACAAAAAACAATTCACCTGCTCCTGACAACTGCAGTAATACCACATATGTGTATATTAGTTGTTATTGGTAACCGTAGTACAGCCCAGAAACAGCAGTGTGCATTTTTCTCTTGTTATCCTACTGAAAAAAACACACTGACACTTGCCCATAAAAAAACTGACCCTGACCTTGGCCCAAACACTAACCCTGGCACTGACCTAGATCAAACCTTGATCTAGGCATTTTTTTTAATTTTATTTATTATTATTATTATTATTATTATTATTATTATTAATAATTGTTTTTGTGCACACTGTTGTCTTTTTTTTGCAAAGAGAAAGAGAGATACAATGTATTTCTCTCCTCCATTCAGAGAGAGAAAACACGGGGGCGGGGTTCATAGTGACTGATCACGGTGATAGCCAATCAGGGGCTATCATAGTGATTAGGCAACCCAGAATCAGGAGTTCCAGGTTCCGATCATTAGTACAGGACCCAGGGTTCTCAGTGAGACCCCAATCTCTGTGCTTGGACCTTGCTGTGCAGCACGCTTCCAGTGCAAAGTTAGATACGCAAATATGCGGCCCCATGGAAAAAAGCCCAGTCCAGTGGGGTGACATATTTGCATGCTCAATGCCAAAGGGTTAAGGATAATTTTGTTTTACCAAACAGTAATATAATAGTTGAGTTACACAATATATTTACTTTATATACATTTGAAAAAACATTTTGAGAGTCAATGATATTAAAAAAATATCAGCCACACTCCAAATTTAGCTCCTTTGGTTGTATTTATTGTCATCAAAGTGACTGCATACAACATGTTTCCACGCTAAAACCAACCTTCCTGGTTTCACCACTCCTGGCCTGTTCACAAGGATAGATTTCTCCTATCATTTGAGCAAGCCAGGAGTGGTGAAATACGTCAAATAAGGTTATTTTGTTGAGTGGATACATGTTGTATGCAGTCATTTTTCTGATAATCAATCAATACAGCAAAAGAAACTAAATTTGGAGCACAGCTGATAATTTTTTTCATATCTTTGATGGAGACAGGTTATAAAAGCAAGCACATAAATTTTCCATGTATGACAAAAGCTGTGGGTTTTGAGCGGAGCTTTGAATTTTGACATTTTTACAGTCATTATAATTTTATAATTTTATTATTTTTTCACATATTTAGGGCCCACCTGGTCCAACTGGGCCTCCAGGTAAAGATGGTAATCAAGGATCAAGTGGACCAATTGGACCACCAGGACCAAGAGGGACTGTTGGTGAAGCTGGACCAGAGGTAATCATCATTACATAATCATTATGTATCACTTTAACTGTACATAACAGTAGAATAGCTGTTGGTTGTGATGATTTCACAAGTAAATCCTTTTATTGTTTAGGGTCCCCCTGGTGATGCTGGTCCACCAGGTCCACCTGGCCCCCCAGGCCTTTTAACAGCTGCCATAGATGATCTAATAGGTGGCTATGATGATACTGTACCAGATCCTCTTCCAGAATTCACTGAGGATGAAGCAGCAGGGGATGGTAAAAAGAATGATCCAGGTGTTCAAGCAACTCTAAAATCACTAAGCAGCCAAATAGAGACAATGCGTAGACCTGATGGCTCTAAGAAGAATCCAGCACGTACATGTGATGATCTGAAACAATGTCATTCTTCAAAGAAAAGTGGTAAGTAAAAGATGAATTGTACATGAATCTTTACACAGCAATATACAGTACATATTATTTCAATAAAAATAGGTATCTATAAATATTTATCTAAATTGAAGTTTCTCCTCACACGCTCATGCACATAATCATTTACAATATTATTAACTGTATTTGTTATATTCATATATATACTTCAATTTGCTTGCTCTCAGGAGAGTACTGGATAGATCCAAATCAAGGCTGCTCTGAAGATGCCATCAAAGTTTATTGTAATATGGAATCAGGGGAAACGTGTATATCAGCAAATCCTGCCAAAATACCTATTAAGACCTGGTGGACTGGTAAAGGTGGAGATAATTTCAAGCCCATATGGTATGGTGTGGATATGAATAAAGGGGCACAGGTAAGTTGTATAGTGATATTTTATTATGCGACATTAGTAATAATCTTAGTAATACATAGCTTTTCAGAATTAGAAACCTGAAGCAGTCCTAAAATAATCAATTTTACCTATACATAAGGCTTCTACAACATATTTTGTGGAAATCCTTAAAGTGTTATTAAACCCACAACAGTAAAATCAATCAGTAAAGCATGCTTGTTATACTCACTGTGGAACCTAAGGGGTTAATCCTCTGTCTTGTGTAAAAAGGCTGTTTGATCCTGACTTCTCTGCTCCTCCTCTTGTTCAAATGTCCATGTCTTATCTCCTGATAAGACAGACTGAACTGTAGCCGTTCTGTACATGGTTAGATTAGTGTGTATTGCTAGAGAGGGCTTTTTATTTCTTGGGAGAGTGCATGTTATCAGAACAGTGCCAATCAGCACTGTCCAGACAGAGGTCAGGGGTTTTGCATCCTCCTAGAGCAGAAAGAAAACTCCTCCTATAAGCTTTGACCAGTGCTCTGCTGGACACTGATAGAAATCACAAGACTGCACTAACTACTGATGAGAAAAGGTATTTAGCAGTTTATGTTTACTAAAATATTTCTATTTCTATGTAGTGTGTACTGTGGAAGACCAGATATAGTGAATGCAGGGACCTGGGTTTAGTAACACTTTAAATGCATTTTTTTAATCATGTAGTGTAAGTACCTGTTTCAGCATCTTGCAGTCTCTGTGCAGCAGAACTTGTTGAAGGAAAGAGAAACAGCACAAAGAGTTAATTAGCTGCACTACACTGCAAGGAGCATACTGATAAGAGAAAAAAGCAGAGTGCCAGAGAGATGAACTCATCAGTTTGCTGCTTCTCCTTTCACTTTCCAGTTATAGTGGAGCAGGTGTAGTCCCTACTCCACCAAGCAGATAGTGCTTTGCAGCCTTGGGGATGGAGTTGATTCTAGGGAGAATGATGTTTCCCTGCAGCCTCCATAGGTAATGCAGGAGAAATGGCTCCCCGATTGGACGCTGGCGCCCCCAGTGACCTTCTGCAACCATCTTGGTTGGGCCAATGCTAATAAATAGAGGTGCCCCACTGCATTTGGCATGCATTTGCAAGTAGATAGAATAGTGAAAGGAACCCCACTTGTCAGGTACAGTGATATAGCCTACAGAAAGGTCCTGTGTGAGGATGGTCAGAGTAGGGAATACTGCTGCTTGGTCCCTATAGCCTCTGGCCTCTAGAGATGCCGTCACAACTTGTCAGTGCTGTTACCCGTGTAAGCAGCATGTCCTTCAGCAGATGCCACCCCAGTAATGTAAGCCTTGCCTGTGTTGTGCCTTACTGTGCTGCAGACATACCACTGTATTTCTGTGTTCAAGGGCTGCAGCCTCACAGTACCACCAGCCTATTCAATTTGCCCCCTCATACATGTGCATTAAGGACTTAAACAGCACCCAGCTGGGAATTGCACTGTGCCTGTGTGAAGCAGCAGTCATACCAGTTACAGCTAATGTCACTGGAGTGACAAGGCGCCTGGTATCGCAAATGTTCATATGCCTGTAGCCCAAACGTTTTCACATGTGTTACAAAACTAGTGGTAGTGACTGTAAACTGCCAGCTTTCTTGTTAGCCGTAAACCTGTAATTTTATAAATACAACTGTTGAAACCTTGTCTGGACTCTGTATATGCTGCTTCCTCAACCCATAACAGGGTCAAAGTGGTGATAAGACCTCTAAGAATTACTGAACTGCAGTAGAAACAAATCAGGACTCCGACACAGTCACACAGAGCTGTGCTGTATGGTATAGCTGTGTAAATCTCAGAACTGAATTGTTAGAAATAGGAATTCTTTGGCAGGTACAGCAACATACTCCAAACCCAATATAATTCTGTGCTTGATGTGATAAAAGCAGCTAACAGAGGTGAAAGATAAATAACCTCAAATAACATGGCATAAAAAGTGCAGCACTAGGATTAAATAATCAAATATAATGGAACCCCTAGAGGATTCCATGCTCAGATAAATGTCCATAATGATCCACCAGAAAAAAGTCCTTTCTCAAATAAATGTCCACAATAGTGAATGTGTTTCCAATCATCCAAGGAGAGCAGAAAAGACCCACTTTTACAATGAGGCTGAAGAAAAAGAGTGAAAATCCGAAACTTCTAATGGAAACCACGGGGTGAGTAAGAACCCTTACTGTTGGGCTTTTAACCTAATGAAAAGCCAAAATGCGCTTTAGGACTCAAGCCCAAATAAGTCCGCAGCAGTTGACCAAACTCCAATCCTGCAGTTCCTCCTTGAGCTTCAAACTCCACCAGTTAAGGAAATGCAAAATGCAAAGTCTGATAGTGCAGTATGCTCTTGAAGCCGTGAGACACGGAGGAAAGGTTCGAGAAATCTGAGCACAGAATCCTCTGGGGTTCCATTATATTTGACAGCAACATACTTATCTGTATTTCACCTATACATTTAGCTATTTAACTAGTTCAGTCATACGTCACCTATCTGATGGCTGAGCACTATTATACTCTTGTTTTTTTTTGAAAGCTATAAAACTAAGCTAGGATATTTATGTGAAAAATATCATCGCAATTCTGAGATTAGATCTTTGTCTGGCATTGTGATTTAATATAATGGAACAGGAGGTGTGATTTGTTGGTATAGGAAGAGGGGCTTACTATTACCTTTACAAAATACCCTCAATTAAAAGATACAGTGCCTTATTACTTCCTATTTTCTTTCCAACACAAAGTTTTCTTTAAAATTGTAGGTGCCTTTTCTTTAAACTTAGGGGTCATGTTTTTTTTTTTTTCCTTTGCAGTTCGTCTATGGAGAAAACGATTCACCGAATACTGCTGTCACACAAATGACCTTTTTGCGTCTTCTGTCAAAAGAGGCTTCACAAAATATTACGTACTATTGTAAAAATACAATTGGATATTTGGATGAGAAAAATCAGAATCTAAAGAGAGCTGTTATTCTTAAAGGTGCTAATGATCTTGATATTAGAGCAGAAGGGAACAGCCGTTTCAGATACACAGTTTTGGAAGACACTTGTTCGGTAAGTGCAGATCAGACAAAATACTGTAAATATAAAATTTAAATTAATTTTTTTCCTCCCCCGGATGCTTATGCTCCAGGGGAGGAAAAGCAGTGTTAAAAACATGCCTAAAGCCACATTTTGCAAACGCATTAGGTGCATTTAGGTGTTCATTCATTCTACTGGCCAAAATATTAATTTATTCTGACCATTGCAATTAATAAATACGCAAACGTTAAGCGCACCTAGCACTTAAATGCACTTAGACACATTTACATGCGTTTAGGCTTGTGAGGCGTCTAAATGCCTGTAAATGTCTAAGTATGCAAGGACACATAGGTTAACATTTAAACTGTTATTGTACCCTTTGACTATCAATTTTGAATAGACTTTCTATCCAAAAGTAATACATAAATTATACATTGAACCTGGGGAGCTGAGCCACCTGTTGACTGTTTACACGTCTGAAGGACTGCCGTAGCTAGATATTAGTGTTCCTGCTCACCCTGGAGTCTTCACAGATCCTCTTCCTGTTGCTTATGTATAAAATATATAAATATTCTACAGAAAGAGTAAAACTCGTTTACTGGCTGCAGTGGTTATGCTACCTTGGGATCTTAAGTACAGCAGTCTGAAATATAACTAAAAGTTGTGATAGTATCATTCCCAATTTTTTTTTTTTTACCAAGTATCAATTTTGGGTGAGTTGACACTTGATAATTTTATGTTTAGAAAGGCATATAGATTTATGGAGTAATAAGAGGCAAATTTAATAGGATGAAAAAATAAAACTAATCAAGTACATTAAAAACAGCAAACTCAAATTAGTTTTCAGCAGTCTAAGGGAATTAATATAATCAAAGATAATTTTAAGTAATGGCATCCTAATAAACCAGGTGAAATACAATATTACCTTGCTTTTAATATGCCATCTATGTGATCTAGAATAGCCTTTCTCAACGGGGTGCCCCCAGAGGTCTTCAGGCGTGCCGTGGCATCCTGGTAGAGAAAGGCTGTCAGTTGAGTCCAAGCTGCAGATACCAAACCGCACTGTACATCAGCACTGGAGACGTCAGACTGCTGAATACGCTGAGCACAGTGAAAGCAAATGGAGGGGTGTGTGTGTGCTGTGCTCTCTGCCACCCCCTACAGTGCAGTACCTGGCTGTGTGGGGGAAGGTAATATACTGCATCTTTTTATAGAGATGTATACATGTGTTTGTATGTGCGTTTGTGTGTACATTTGTGTGTGTGTTTGTGTACATGTGTCTGTATGTGTGTCTACATGTGTCTGTGTGTACATGTGCCTGTATGTGTGTGTACATGTGTCTATGTATGTGTCTGTATGTACATGTGTCTGTATGTGTGTACATGTGTTTGAATGTACATGTGTTTGTGTACATGTGTTTGCATATGTGTGTGTGTACATGTGTTTGTATGTGTGTTTTAATATATGTGTGTGTGTTTGTTTTTATGCTTGTGTGTATGTATGTTACTTTTATTCTTTACCTCCTATTCCTGTACTATCACAACTGCTTTTTTTTTAGGACATGTTCATAATAGCAGCAAGGACTGCTGCTCCTCTGAAAAGCAATCCATACTCACATCGCATTTTGGGTTGAGCAAAAAAAAAAACTGCTAGTGTGTAACAGTCTTAAGGCTTTGTTGTTTATAGGAAACATGCTTACTAGCTGGAAAGATAGTGATGACCCCATTAATTCATCAGTGTTCTGCTGTCCAATCACAGATGGGGTGGAGTGGGTCTTCGCTTATATTTATTGTTAATGTGCAGTGTAATCAGAAGAGAGTTCCTGATTCTTTGTTGGCTAAAACAGTTTAGATAAATGTATTTTAATTGTGTAATTAGGTGTCTCAAGTTCAGTCTTACTAATTAATTATTAATTATTTGTGGATACCTTGAAGTGGAAGATTTGAATTCATAGAAAAGTGACAAGGAAATAAATGTGATTTTTTTAGCATTGATTAACCATTAAACAATGAAATCACATTGTGTTCTTTTTTTTTTTTTTTACATTGTAGAAACGCAATGGAAATGTAGGCAAGACTGTATTCGAATACAGAACACAAAATGTGAAACGCCTACCTATTATCGATATTGCCCCTGTGGACATTGGCGGAACAGATCAAGAGTTTGGAGTAGACATTGGGCCAGTTTGCTTTTTGTAAACCACCAACAGAACAATCTAAAAACTTTAAGTGACTGACATTATCCTGAGACTCTTGAAAATAATAGCTGGCAACACACCAGCACTGTACATACAGGTTTCCATGAATTGCCATTTTGTTAATTGCCTGGCCTACCACCAAGTATTTATTTTACATTTTTGTTTTAAATTCAAGAGCAGAAATACTGTAAAAGGACCAATGTTTCTTTATAGTTTTCATTTGTGGTGTATTCATTAATATTTAGGAGTCCTCCAACATCTAATTGGGAAATGTATAGCCAAAGTTTAAATGTTTACATCAATGCATGCCCAATATCTTGACATGTGAAGGTACATTTCTAGATTTTACGTGTCCATATCTACAAATGTGTTTTAAGGCACCATTGTTTTACTTTGGAACCAGTTCATCAAGCTTTATGTTTTACTATGTGCAATTAGTGGTAAATAAGCTAAAACACTGACACATTTGGAAAAAGTGAGTATTGGGGTCCTTTCCCAATTTGCCAAATTTACATTCTCTGTGAATATCCTTCCCCAAGGGTTCCATCTTATCTGTCCCCTTCACAGTGTTCATAATTTGATGAATCGGTTGGTTTGGCACAGGCTTCTGAATAGTTTTAGTATGTGCACTTAAACTAGACGTCAATATTTATTATTGTCATTTCTGGTTGTGAAAGATTTCATAAAACCTACAAAGATTAGTAATAAATTTACCATTCAATCCAAATTGTTGTACAAAATACTGTAAAAATTAGTTACAAAGCTTGATGGATTTTTTGATATCTCATTTTGTATTATAGTTTTTCTGTAATGCAAGAACATTGAAGTGAAAGTCAAGGCACAAAAATAAAATTCAGTAGAGAAACCCTTTGCTACGTCCATTAATAAGTCTTCACTTATAAAATGAAATTGTGAAGTACCATTAAATGTTCCTCTAAAATCAGGTCACATAATCCTGCTTATCTGCTCCCTTTTTTAAAAGAAGCAATCCTAGAGGGATTGCTGCTTAGATTCAAGCTGACATTAAATGGAAACTAAGAGGAGGTTAGCTCTGCAAAACACTTAATTGACAAGGAACTAGGGGGTACTATGCTATCAATAACCCTCCATTGGTGTGGGGAAAGGTGCTGTCACTGATCTGGTGTATTGCCCAGTGCATCTGCGCCTGAGCCTTGGTGGCACAGTAAGTGACAGAATTGTTGCTAGTTAGTTAGTTGCAGATTTAGTTCCTGTTATGGCATGAGTGCTGACTATAGAGCAATAACATAAAAGGTAAGGTGTCTTAATTAGGGCAACAGTGTTGATGAAAAAATTATGCCATGACTTTCACTTATATAAATATATATAAACATGAGATCTTCAACGTGGTGCAGAATGAAATAGAAATATTTATTAACAAGTTTTAAAGGCAAGATTTTTGTATTTTTCATGTCTTTTTTAAGTACACATACCATATCACTCGAAAGAATAGATTTAAATAATGAGGGAATATATTTCAAACAAACTGTTATGTACAGTCGATGACTCATATTTTCTATTTTTAACCACAAGTTGTCAGGTACAAAAGGATCAAATGTTTCAAAGCATAAGCTACCTCATCTCGTGATGCTGGGATGCATTAAAATACATTTGTTTCTTGTTACATATTTAAAGGTGCTATGCTGTTGTTGTAAAGAGAATGAGGAAAGTCCGCAAACATGTCTGATGGTGCTAAAAATTCCTTTTGTAAAATCCTGAATAAATAAAAAATGACAGCTGCCCGTAAAGGACATTATTTTATAAAGTTTAGTGTGCTTTTCATATTCTTTAGTAAGTACATGCTGTGTACATATATATAAATATTAGCTTTGCTTTAACTGTATTAAGCATTGTGTTTTTATTTTATTTTTTTCACTTAAATGTACTTTATGCTTCTGTAAAGTTTTCAAAGGACAGAGACAACAATCATTTCAACTGAGTTACAGGTAACCCCCCCCCCCCAAAAAAAAAACAACAACTTTGCATTCAAAACAAACTAAATGCTAACCATGTATCACTTCAATTCTATTTATTAAAAACTTGCTCCTCTTTGGTGAGTGTGGAATTGCTAAAAGGATATTTATATACATTCCACAGTTATTAAAATGCAGTGATAGCTGCATGTGTTGCATTTATTGGCTTGGACATGCAAAAACTATGAAGTCGAAAAGCAATACAAAAGACCTTCTCTGATTCTGCCATATTGTCTGGGGCAAACTAAGCAATTTGGGGATTTTATAAGTGAAGTGTAAGTAAACATCAGCTTATATGCTCCTATTGAACTCTTCTTAAGGACTGCAACAGGTAGGAGAATATAACATATACATATATATATATATATATATATATAGCTATTTAAAGACATAATTCCAGTGTTAAGATTTTGAGTATGATCCGGACAGTTGCTGCAAAAGAAAAAGAAGGAAAAGCTCCATGTACTATTATTTTCTTAAACATGTTCATTATGATTATCACTCCTAATATACAGTATTAAGCAAAATGTAGCATTAATTTGCTCTAGCTGTTCAAATGCTCTACCATCTGCCAAACCTCTATTTTTATTATTATTATTTATACAGGATTTATATAGCGCCAACCATTTGCGTAGCGCTTTCTAAAACTCTGTTGATCCTGGAATTTTATTCTTTAAAAACCACAGTTAAGAGCTCACCCAGTCAAGATGTGTTGCAGCAAACCTGAGTAATGCAGCCACATATTTGTTTAAATATCCAGAAAGACATAATGAAAATTGAACCTTAAGAAAGAACTACTGTTGTCAAGAACAAAGAAAAGAACCCTAGTCTAAGCTTTGAGTTGCTCCCTTTGGAGCTCCTTAGAAAAGATGCTGTATGCAAAGAGCCTGAGGGAGTGAGAGATTAGGTACATAAAAGTCATTTTCACTGGTATGCTAAGCATACATGAGCATTTAGACCTTGCAGTGCTGGAGAAGCCCAACTTCAAGGGTATTTTTTGTTTTCACTGGAAAACAGCTTTAAAGAAACACTGTCACCTTATTTTTACTATTCTTTGGCCCTGTGATACAAAGTAGGAAGGAAGGAAGAAAGCTGTTTCTTAACTGCAGCTTGTCTCTGCTCTGAGCACCTTCCAGAGACAATGTCAAGAGAAATTCTGGGGCTGAAATGTCCTCCCTCTCTTTGCATTCCTCTTGCCGCTACTTGCTTCAAGTGCTTAGAGCAGAGACAAGCTGCGGTTTTAAACTTTCATTCTCCTTCTATGGTTTGATTGACCATGGCAGGAGGGAAAGGGGGCAGGTTGGACCTCATACGTAGAGTGCTAGCAAAGTAGTACATGCACTGTAATTGTTTTACCATAGGGGACAGCACTGTAAAAATTTTTATAGTTTTTCTTTAGTGCTGTTTTCCAGTGAAAAAATGAACCCTTTCCAGTAGGGTTTCCCCGCACAGCAAGACCTAAGTGCATGTGCAGCTGGGAAATAGGCTAATAACATTAAACTGTTGCTTTGCACAATGGAGAGCAAATAGCCCTGCATTTTACATGAGTATGCCCAAGTACTGCCCACAACTCAGCATCAGAGAGTTGAGCAGTGGCTGCAGAGGAGAAAATGAGTTAGGAAAGTACTTTTTACTGGTACCTTTGGCACAAATAAACATTTAGCTCTTGCAGTGCTGGGGAATCCACACTGCATAATCGATAACTATCATAAACTTACTGCAATTTTCCGTTCCTGATTAACTCTAGCAGCATATGAATGGGTAGGCTCCACCCTCGCTCCACCCTCGCTCCTACCTCCTAGGACACCTCTCTCATAAATTTTAAGGCTGATCCAATCCAAGTGTTCTGTAACGAGGCTTCTCAACCACTTGGAGGGATCCTATGCAGGTATGGCATTAATCAGGAAAGGAAAATTGTGGTAAGAATTTGATAACAAATTTCCATTTTCCTTAATTCCATACCAGCATATGAATGGGAAATAACTAGCTCCAAACAAGTGTGGGATGTTGTAGCTAACAAAACTTTAACACCAAAATAGCTAGATAAGGATGCTAGCTTGCCTCTATGGTGAGCCATAAAGGTATTGGTGGAGGACCATGTTATCCCACCCGTTCCTGGAGATGGCCAATAGTAAATGGATGCTGTAACAATTACCTGCTAGAACTTGGTTACAATACAAGTCAAAGTATATATCACCAGCACATAATGGCTCCCAGTTGACAGTGTTGCCATTGCTTCCATAAAAGTCAAACCTTATTCCTGTATCCAGCAATGAATCTTGGTGTACTTCCCTCTGATTTTGCCAAAAAGGTGACAGAGATGGCCTAAATCAAAGTCTAAGCTTGTGAGTAAACTGGAAGTAGCCCAACATCCTGTGAATGGAACTGGTGATCCTAAGTAGTCCTACATGCAGGGAGAACAATACCTGAACCAGACAGAACACCAAAAAAGGGCCATTTTAGCTTAAGTTCCTGATATCTGCAAACCTCATGGCAGGAGGGGATAGCAACTAAAGAGGCTGTCTTCATGGATCAATATTGCTTTAACTGGACAAAAAGAAACGATCTGGAGGTGGCAATCAATCAAGTCAAGTGGTGGATCCCACTAGGGGAATCTTAGCTCTGTCTGGAGTCTAAGACTCAGCACCCCATTAAGGAATAGGATGAGCAAGGGGTAATTTGCCTAAGAGACATTGGAGAAGGTCTGGAGTGCTGAACTCTACACTCCGAGATTGCGAGGACCAGCCCAATATCCAGACTGGTCTGTAAACAGAAAGGTGCAAGACCTGAGAATTGAAAAAAGAGAAGGCAGAAGCAGCCTAACTGGATGTGCATCACTCAAATTCTGTGGTAAACTATATTAGTGCACCATTCAAGTGGAGTATAGATACATCTATCAGCCAATAATTGGAAAAGATGCACAAGGGTGGAGTAATGCATCCTGCAACAGAAGATCTCATCTGAGATTTAGAGGGACTGGGTCCTGATAATTGAGTTTGAAGTAGAAGAG